TTCTAAAGGCACTCTTTTAAAGGCTTAGTTGATAATAGAGTTAAAATTTATGTATTTCTAAAGGCACTCTGCTTAGTTGATAATAGAGTTAAAATTTAATAAATGACAATAAAGAAGAAACCCTCATCCTGATCATCACAGACATACTTTTTCAATTTTTCTCAGAATCCTTCACTGTTTAGTTACCATAGTGATGGATCATGGCTACCTATTACATGTTGTATAGAGGGAACGTTGGTTGCGCTGCTCATCTAAGAATGACTCAGGCCGACCTGCTTAAATAATTGATTAGTACCTAAGTGTTTATTTTTCTAAATCAGTGTCTTGCAATAATATTGAACTGTTTTTTCGGGCAGGGCCTGTCCTCGTGGGCTCAGGCCCTTCACTTTGATGAGGAAAAAAGTGCACGCTCGGCACTATAATCAATTTTACATCATCTTGGGGCAGCGCTGTATAATTAGAAAGGGTTGATTTCTTTGACCACAGCGTAGTCTAAAATTGTAGGCCTTGCCCCAAACTAGGGTTTAGGAAAGTAACTGAAATAGTGCTGGTGAGTTTCTGTCCTTATGTCCCTCTGTGTGTTATACAGTATCGGTCAGATGGCTACAGAGTCACCGGGATGTGCTGCAGCCAATTCACCAGCACTTGGACAAGTGACTTTTATGTGGCGCCTCTTGTTTTCAAAATAAGCAACCAAAATTATAACCTGAGCGTAATCTCTTCATCACTGAATATGGTGACAGCTGCAGCATGGTGACCTGCTGTGGCTGCAGCCCCTTCTTCAAAGTCACTGGGGTAGTCACACTGCACTGGCACACCACTGTTTTCACATTTGTCACATTTGTCCTGACCACCGCAGACTCATGAGATGTATGTCGTAAGTCAAAAAGTTCCAAGACAGAAATGACTGTTACAAAAAGATTCATTTGAAGGCATCATAAGACATCGATCTATCATTGTCTCTGTCAAAACTGTAAGGTTTTTCAACTCTACTACGAAGAAAATCAGAACATTAACATCAACTTTTTAACCAATCTCTAGTGGAAATCTGTTAAAATGATGGAAAACATAAATCTTCCTGGTTCAAATATTTCACACATGGACGAGAGACTAACTTTTACTAATAGAAGCAAACTCCTGGAGAGAAATAGCCCAGCCTAATAAAATGGGATCTTGTCATGTCTGGAATGCTGGATCCTCATTTCGATAAGAATCAAATTCTAAACCTGAAGCTCATATTTAGAAATACTTCGCAACCCTCTGTGCACAAGGAATGTGCAAAGGAGCCTCAATAGACTTCCCTGTGAGCTAGTTTTGGTTTCTCTGCGTTGGATGTTTCCTTTTAGGTCAGGGTAGCTGCAGGTTCTGACCTTGGCTTGGTGACCTGTGGGTCAGGCTTAGGTATTTATATGCCCAAGGGCATTCATAGGTGTTGCTGCAACTTTTCCGCTTCCTGTCTCTGGCATTTCTCTTTGTTTGGGAACACCTTTTAAAACACAGGACACCTTTATGTCCCCTGTGGTGAGGTGGAAGCGGAGAAACTGGGTAGCTGTTTTTGATTAGACCCAGAGGCTAGGCACTTCCCAGTGGAAAGGATCAGGATGAATAGTACTAAATAGTAGCTTGTCTCTTGTAGTTCTGTCTTTAGTGATTTGTTCAAACGTCCTGCAGACGGGCGTCAGTGCTAATCTGCTGAGCTGCACAGTGGTGAACACGGAGCCTTAGCTAATAGTCCATACTGTGGTTCACCACATCTGCAGTTAAGCTTTTGCTAGGTCTGCTGACGTACAGTCTGCGCTAACAGTGAGGTACCACATGTTATCTTGAGGTTGATAATGCATTAATTTTAATATGATGAGTGGGTGATATTCATACCACAGAAGGGTCTCCTGTACTTTACTGTTAGTTGAATGGTTGGCTGGAATGGACTTTCCGTTGAGATTTTTTGCTCACAAATGTAAAATAAATTTCTTTCCCTCATTGAAGGCATTGCATATCACTGAGAAAACAAGTAATGAGGTACAGCCATGTGTAAATAATGGGAAATTAGAAGAGAAAACCTTTTTAATCTCGACAGGATGGGATGAGGACAACTACTGAGGGACATGTGTTTCAAAGAGAACAATAAGTGGGGAAAGAAAACTCCATTCTTGCAATGTAAGAATACTGATTTCTGGAGAATTTTTCCTCCAGCACACCTGGCCTGTATTATACACTGCTGTGACCGGTTCAACTGGGTCTTGGCATTAAGAGTGCCGTTGTAGATTCCGTGAGGAGTTTAACAAAGTATGTTATCCTGTCAAATAGATTTGAGGCAGCAGGAAACTTTAATCTTCTAAACATGTGTTGCAGAATCTCCAGTTCACCAAACAAACGTTCAGATTTATGCAGAGGGACACTTGGATTTGGGTTTGTCTTGTTTTCTTTGTTTCTTAAACAGTTCAGTAGTGGAGTACTTTACATATACATATATATATCATTGTTGAGTATTCAACTGATTCTACAGCTGTAGTTTGACATAAGATGGAAGATCAAAAACTGAAAAATCTGTCTATCTCTCAGGCTTTTCTCTGTCATATTTCTGTTTGTTAAATTATATTCAATGTCATGATCTGTTTGTTAAATTATATTCAATGTCATGAAGCTGTCATACGCTGAGTCATATTCTTATTTTAAATATTCATATCAACCCAGAGGATGGAATAATTTATAAGATTTAATGCTTTTAAAAAGCCATTGCTTGAAATGTTTTCCCTATTAAATCCTCATTTTCTTAAAAACCTTTTTCCAGTGGTTGATTTTTTCACAGTTCTTGTTGACAACAAAACATTTGCATCCAATCGTTTTTTTTATTTTTTTTATTTTGCTATTTGTTTTTTGGCTGTGATTCACATTGTTGTCTATTAATTCAAGAAAGAGCTTGGTGCAGCTGAGTTCAGTCGAGAGGGAATAGGGAGTATTGGAAAAGATGAACAACGATGACGTGTCTCAATATAAACCTGCCAGTGAGTGACAGTTTTGATAACACACTTCTTTTTCCCATAAATCACCTTGAAAAGAGGAGTCGGACAGCGTGCTCTGTGAGTGGCATGTTATCTTAAACCCACTGGTCAATGACACGGCCATATTTACTCCACTAACTGGTTGGCCTTCCCATGTGCCTCAGTGGCATGAGAAATACTCACTGGACCATGACCCAGGGTTAAAGTAGATATAATGAGCTGCTGTTTGTTTTCCAGGATGAATCTTTTTTTTTCTTTTTCTTTTTCCCACTTGGACTTATCTCTCATGTTCTTATCAGTCATGACATTTTACTGTGCATTTACATCACGGTACACCTGTGTTAAAGTAGTAGACTTTCACTTTGTTTGGCCTTGTCAGGAACCTTGTGGTCCCTAATGCATATTCATACTTTCTATTTATTTCTATGTTTTAAATGCTATTAAAAAAAAATCCACTTCTAAAACATTACACCATAGTCTACCTGCTCCAGTCTGTCCTGTTTGAAATCTCTAAAGAGATTTCAACAGTCTGAGATTAAAAGCACCTTACAAAGTATTCAAATACTTTTAAACACACGTCAGTCTCCCCGCTGCATGTGTAACAGCTTTGGTGAAGATACAGATGTTGAGCGATATTTGGCATCTTTTCAGCCACTAATCAACGCAAATCCCTGCGAGGTGAACCTGAAGAGTGATGCGTGTAAACTTTCAGGCAGTGGAGGAGAAACAGAACCTTCAAATAAACGGTGGAGGCGCGCTTGATGAAGCATGCACCGTTGGCAGCGAGCCTGCATTTAATAAGGGCACATACGTAGACAGTTCATTGACGGTTTAGATAAACAGCAGTGTGGCAAACACTGACTTTAGACACACGGTGTTCCTGTGTTGAGATGAGAATGTCATGTGTGTTTAATGTGCTCTGTAAAGTCTCCGTACCAGCCTGGCAACAGTCTCAAAGTAACAAAAGATCAGTGTTTAATATTTAATTTTCCTTGTTTGCATCACTTACAGGAAATGTCGGTGCACATGCATTGAAGTCGGTGCTGATCCACCTTTATCCCTGTGCTGTAAGCTGATTTGTCAAGAGGCCTGTGGCACCTTTGTGTGTTAGGTTGAATAACAGTCAGTAATCAGGAATAAACAAAAACCACTGGAGCTGAAAATGTTTGAAAAATGCATGAAATGTGTTTTATCTCACATCTGACACCGTGAAGGACTTCTGTGGTTTTGTCCAGAAACAACCTCTGTCTCCTGCACAATATAACCATCAGAACCAAGTTGTTCTGTGCTGGCAGCATAAAATATTTCCAAAGTTTTCTCTGAGGTTTTACATTTCTGGCCGTCAGACTCGGGATGGTAGTAAAAGAAAATTATTTGGTACATTGTTCTTTTAGGGGCCGTTCCAGGGTTGATCTGGACAACTTTATTTATTTATTGAAAGGCTTGGTGTGTGTAGAAACAGCTAAGACATTACATCAGTTATCACTAATTATTGTGTTGAAAATACTCTTAACTTGTTTTCAGTCAGTCAAGTCAATTTATTATTTTTCTCACACCAAATTTACAATAAAAAGTACCAAACGAGAAATTCTGCCACAAAAATCAAATCAAATAACTTTCTGTACTCGGTGTGGTTTATTTGTTTACCATCTGATTACCTGTACAAACATTTACAGGTGGTATTCAGACTCCTAACCTATCAGCCTGTGTTTGGTAGTGTATTCCCTAAGGAGAAATAATGATTTTTACAATAGCATGAAATAAACAAAAACCAAGTGCTCTGTGAGGTTCTACCCCTCCCTCTAACTCTGAATCTAACTCTCAATCTTGTGCACATAGCAGATTAGTGCTTAGTACACTTACAAAACACACACTGCTTTGTTAAAGAGTACTGGGAGTTTAAACGGCCTTAACCTAGAATCACACTTTGATGTTGTAGCTTCAAAATCCCAAAGCGCTTCTGACCCACTATAACGGTATTTTAATTCCTCTCTACAGCTGATCTTCACTGTCACAGTGCCCAGAGGAAATTCCCACTGGAGGGGAACATGCAGGGACCTGGCAGCAGCCACCAAAACATACCGGACGATGTGTTCAGGCTAAACCTGGCTAAAGGAGTGTCCATGTCACTGCCCTCCTCACCTCTCCTGCCACGACAGTCCTACATGATGCCTTTACGTCCTAGCAAGAGATCACCAGGTAAAGTAGCTTCTCACTGTGGTTTGTTCCATGATTTTTAAACATCCATTTCATACATTTTGATCCTTTTAAGTGAGGTGTTCTCACCAACTGTGCGGTATTTTTTTTTATTTTTGTTTATTAAAGATCGATATAACTCTTTCTTCTGACAATGTGGAATAACTATGTACTTCTCTGTAGCTGCTAGCTAGTTGGCCAAAAGACCCAAGTACAGCAGAAGGAACAGGTGTTCAGCTGATGTGTCACAGATGTTCCAGAGTTTCCATTGGCCCAATTTAAATTTATGCAGGAGGTTTATTTTAATGTGCCAAAACAATGTCAATTATCAATTAACAATTATCACACTACCAAAAGGGTCATGGAACCCCTGACTATGGCCTACAGATCCAGAGAGGTTTGGGGACCCTATGTTGAGAACCACTGCTTTAAAATACTCCAGATACTACTGTTGTCATCTTAATAGTAGTTTATCTTGGGAAATAATTGAACACCACAGCTTGAAATCGTAACATTAGCTCCACCTTCCCAGATCCAACCTTTTAGCACGGTCCACACACAGGGATTTGTTTTTGTCACTTCATGCCTTTATTTGATCACCTTGTGTTGAAGTATAGGCCTGTACAACTGTGCTGCGTGTTTACACTTTAGTGGCTCGTAATGGGTGGATGTTTACACTGGATCTAATTGTGTGCCCTCCTGGGCTTCCTCCACTGCAGCTGCAGGGTTCGACCCGAGCCTTTGTATCCTGAAGACTTGACACAGAGAAGAGAAATCCTTTAAGTGGCCAGCGTGCCCCCCCGCCCCCCCACTCACATGTGGCTCTCATCTGTGGGCTATCTTAGCCTTTGTTTGGAGTATTCGCAGCTTTGATCTGTTTAGTGTAAAGATGAGTTGGTGGGAGGGGGGCGGGGCCTGGGGAGTGGGGTTTGATCTTTGTACAGACTTGTACCTTCACATTCATATCTAATGTAAAAATCCAGTTTTGGTTGTTTACCTTTTAAACCAGTTTTGCACGCATGGATCGTCACAAGCCTCATTAGTTGTAATCATGATGTTTGATTTTCAGGCCTTACATGTTTCTGCAGTGAACTATTTGAATGTTAACAGAGCCCAGATGCACGATCAGTACATTCTTGTTCTCTGACAAAAGCAGCAAAATGTAATTGATACTTTTTAAAAGGCTTTTCATTGGCACACAATTTAATCAGCTAAAATACCCGACAGTGATAGTAAAATCCATTGACAGGCTATTTATGGCAAAACTGCAACTTCTATGATTACTTTAAATCAGCACACTAATAAAATGTGTGTTAACTGGTATGACCAGGATGGGGAAAAAAGGATGAGATTGTAAAGGTGAAGAGGGCTCATGGGAGAGAGGAGAAGGAACACTCATTAAAGGTATATTCCCTCATGTCTCGCTCCGAGGAATGAAAAAAGAAGAAGGGGAGAAAAAAGGGCAGACAAGACAGAACACTGTGGAGATCAACGCAGGAGTGAAGGTCGGGGGAGGGTTTGAGACGCTCCTCTGTGGTCCTCAGAGGTAACTGTGAAAATCCTTAGGGGGAGAGTTCACAGCTCCAGTTAATAAACACATACTGTAGGAAATGTCTCAGGTCAGCGATGAAAACATACTGGGTCGTGCTGCATTTTCTGTTTCCCGGCCACATTCAGACATGGAGACAGTGGAGTGTTAAAAACCCAGTTTAGTTATAGCTCAGTGGTTAAGATGTGTGTGTTTTCCTTTAAAATAATGATAGAACAGAGAAATAAATGGAAATTCTTAATGTTACTTTAATTAGGCGGAATCCCTAGTGGTTGGAAACTGAAATTCTTGGTAACATTACCCAGTGGTGATTTAGTATTAATGCTGAACCAGTGTATTCCTACATTATGGGTGGGTGCATTACTGTTTCTTAATGATATTTTTATTGGTCAACCCCAGTGGTTTATAGCTGCAGTGATACTGGCCCATGAACACTATGTCTGCAGTACTAGCATTTATGTATTCCTGGATAGAATATAAATCTTGTGTAGAAGTTTAAACACGTTCCTGATCTCTACTGCTCATTACTTGATCTTGAAAGGTGTTCCTGCTCAGTGAGGACTTATCCACAGATGGTTGTAGTCATGCACCACAGATGTGGAGACGAAAGAGTTTCCAACACAGGAAACATGTTTTGGAAATGTACAGTGACAAGGGAGTTAGTAGAAGCAACAGCCATGAACAAATCAGAAGTAAAGGGGCTCAAATACTCACAACCACATCCATGTACAGTACATGTAATATGGTGCACACATAATAATAAATGTCATAATAGGTCATAATAAATTGTTTCTAAATGCAGGGATTAATTTTCCGGACCATTAAACTGGATTGTTTACCGTTCATAGACAGTCCCTTTGTGTGATTTCTACAGTTTCAGAGGCTTGAACAAAGCAGACACAGGGTGAGGTGGTGTAAACACAGTGTGCAACGAAGGCTTTTAGGAAGTTAAACAAAGGGTCATAATGTGCAACAAAGGCTTTTAGGAAGTTAAACAAAGGGTTAACAGTGCATGTGTATTGTTTAGGAACAGCACCTTCTGTGTGACCTGTGTGCACAGTATAACATAACAGTATTTTGTCCATTCACTGACTCCTAAGATAATGACTGCCATCCACATCCGACTGGTGTTTTCCAAACTTTCAGTAGAGCGGTTTGTATAAAGCTTTCACCGACACTTGGCTAAGCAGTAACTGACCACATGTTTCTGGCACCAAATTCAGTCTTATAACAACAACAGGACAAAGGAAATGAATTTTTATTATGAAAAAAATTCACCTCAGAGCCAAAATAATTTTTGTTTATTTCCGTTTAAAAACCACCTTTTTTTAAAAAATCAAATACTAAACAATACAGTTGTAGCCTGAACAGTCGCTGTTAAAAAATAAATAAAAAAGACCTTCATTGATCCCACATTTGGGAAATGTTCATGTTAATAGCAGACGTGCTAACCGCTACACTCACTTAAAGCTAATGTATTTAAAAGGTAAACCATTTGTTTACCATTTTACCAAACTAACTGTAAGATGCAATTATTCAATAATTATTCAAAATGTCTCATTCTTCATGGTATGGACGTTTTTTTTTTTTGTTTTTGTTTTTTTGCCTTGCAAAATGTCAGTTGATGTTGTTCCAAGGTAATACGCTTTCTATCTGTGATTGGCAGATGTGTCCTGTTTTGGACATGGGGGCTTTACTTCACTGAAGCACCTTGACCTCAAAATAGCATCTCAATGCTCAGCATTTGTTGAGGTTGTTCAGATGAGATGGCCCTATTTGTCAATCAGCCTCACCAAGCAGTAAATAAGCTCATGGTTTACAGCACTTTTGGTGGGCTTTTTTTTTTCTTCTTTCATCTAACTTCTCTGGTGACCCTGCAGATCATGTGGGTCGTTGTCTACATTCATGGAAATACACATTAAGGTCATATGCACAATTTCTGATTAAAAAAAGATGTGAAAATATTTTATAAACCCTTCATAGTCCTAACAGGTTGATTTATCCGCTGTCATCACTTTTGTTTTGGCCGGGAAGCGGTTTCGAAGATACGAAGAGCATTTTGTGGCTAGGGCTCATTTCCTGACACATTGGGTAATCTATCACAGTTTGCGAGGCTTCGACTTAGTGGTTGTTCTTTTCATGAAAAACTTCACAAGGGACAACAGAGAAATACTGAGTTAATTAGGAGTGTGACGGATGCCTGAGCTGCAAAGCCCTGGTGGTGTTGAGTGGTGCAGCTTTGATCAGTTAAGCCCTGAGCTTAACCATGAAACACAGCACCCTGACATGTGTTGAACAGCACCTAGAGTTTACAGTCTTAATAGTTTACAGGACCTCTGCTGGCCCAGAGAGAGGCATTAACTGTTAGCTGAATGGACCCATCTTCCTTCAAACCATCGTGGGTCAGAGATCAGGTATTAAAAAAACCCAAGGTCTCTCAGTTTGAAGTGGGTAGAGTGTAACGGATCACACAGTAATTGTGGTTTTCAGATCTTTTAAGCCATTAAAGCTAATAGAACTTAATGGCTTCCCTAGTCTCCTGGGCATCTCCACAGTGACCTCCACTGGCTGCAGTCAGTTATTGTCCCATTGGTGTGTTAAAACAATTGGATATGTGGTCAACTTAAAGCTTTTCCAAGACCATTAAAAGAAAAAAGAAAAAAAGAAAACATCTGATGTGTCTGCAGCTGAGGCTCAGAGCTTCAGTGGAATATATTATCTGCTTAACTCTGCAGATTTACAGTAGGATTTTCCAGTAGCACTGATAGGGATTAGAACAGAGAGCAGAGGTGATGCTCAAATCCCCACTGATTGCACAGAAACAGAATTGTGCCAACTTAGCTTTGTCTTTGATTGGGCTGTGATGCATGAATTTATCATCACGTCATCAGATCCCTTTAATTTTTGTATATGGAATTATCACAGAGGGGAAGTGATCCCTGGTATCAGAAATGAGTTAAGTGATTTTTTTTTTCTTCCTGCCACAGGCAACTTTAAGTGGTTTAGAAAACACAGTACAGTGGGGAACTGTCTGGGTGGATGGATGGATGGATGAACATAAATTGTCAGATTTAAAAAATAAGAATCACCATGAATAAAGACAAATTGATCATGAGGCTGAACACGAGACAACATCTAGATTTGAAACCTGGAATGTCACAGAAGCCTGGTGACATTTCAGCGTACCATCACAACATCCTGAAACCTTGTTTTTCCTCTAAATGAGATTTAATAAATATTGAATTCATGCTCCGTTTTAGAATTATTGATTGTGACTATAAAATGCTAATTGAATTTATTTATCACTTGACAAGGAGACACTTTTGCCATAATCTAAAAATGTCTTTCTTCAATGAACTTCAAAGCAGTTCACACGTATTTTGTCGTTGCAGTGTAGTCTACAGAGGAGCACTTTCTTATTTCTGTCCTTCAGGGAACAATGTAATGCGTCCACTTTCGCTCAAAGATCTGTATTTTGCTCAAAAGCCATTGTCAACCAAGATGTATCTCTCTGAGTGTTTGTCTCTTCACTCCACTCATGTAACTACTTCCACAGACAGTGCTTCCACGGTATGTGACCTTATTCTGGCTTCTCACCTCCTTATCTCTGTGCTGTAGCAGCCTCTCCTCTGTTTACTGTAAACACACTGAATATAAGAGGGGCATAAGTGATGTCTTACATTTTGAAAAGATGGCTTTGGTAGCCATGGATGATGATGATGATGAAGATGATGGTGCAGTCGATTCTATAAAAGTTACCCATTTTTTTGTAAACAAAGAAAGTTTCTTTAAAATTTTTTAGATGATTTAACTGTAACCTTGAGGCTTAAATGGTATTTGTTGATTGATGAATGGTGTTCGGATCTCTGAGGAATGACAATAATTCACGATCTACAGTCAGGTAAAATGTTCTCTAATGTGGAGATGAATTACTGCACCTTCCATTCAGCAGTCTTTTGTCCTTGTCCACTGTGCAGTACCAATGCAGTTTATTTTGTCCTTCTGTCAAGAGGACAGAAGAGTGGTTCAAAGGCAGCAGGAGATTCTTTCAGGTGAACTCTCCTGAAGTCACCTCTGGGCTGCTGACAGCAACAAGACAGTTCTGTAGGTTTATTAATGTCTTTCTGAGGGCTGAGCTGCAAAAGGCCCTGTGATGCCGTGGACTCTTTGAACGGTTCCTCTGACGGACACCCAGTGATCTGTTTTTTCACTCCACTTCTCACTCCATTTCACTCCACTTCATTCCGCCCTTGACTTTTTATCAAACAAAGCTCCCTCCAGCTTCTAGTGCAGTGGGATCCCAGTTCACCACCTTCACCTGAAACTAGTATTAAAGACACAAGTTTATAATCGACACCAAAGGACTATTGATGAAACGCTGTGTTCAATACTAGGTTTTGATGGCCAGTAGGAATATATTGATATAACTGTTATTGTTTGTTTCAATGTTGAGCTCCAGTCCTAAACAACCTGTGTGGGATAAGACAGCGTTTCCTCGTGAGGAATGTTGTCATTTTGTCCTGTCTCTTTAATATTACCACATTTTGATCCAAGCTATTCTATGCACTAAATCAACTTGACACAGGGATATGTCAGTGAGATGTTGATGTGATTGATTGACAGGTATGTGCTGTCATCTCTAGTCAGGTTAGAGTGATGTAATTGATTGACAGGGGACATGATGCTTGTTACTTTGTAGTGTTTGGCTGTTGATGTAAGTCACCACTCGGTTATGTTTAGAGTCCAAGGTAGTTTAAAAATTATTGCATATTTGACCATTTAATATACAATAAGAAACACATTCACTACGAAGAGTGAATGCCAAGAAGCATTTTCAATAAGTTTTTGTTTTTCATCCGTGCTGTTAGTAATAGAATTGTAATGAAACAAATCTAATTGGACATTGGATCACCCCCACCCGCCCCCATAGCTATAAATATTGGTCTTATTGGCAAAGTATATGGACATGTTCCAACAAAGCCTTCCAAAGTCATCTTCAATTACGTCAATATCTTTATATTATACAAGCTTGGACTGACGTGAATCTATACTGTAGCCGACTGACTGGACACCACCATGAGGCAGTAGCAGCTCCAGGTCACTTTTGAGATGAAGAATGACATTTTGGAATATAAAGAGCGCTGTTGTGGGGCTGCTCTCATTCCCCTTTGCTGCACAAAGAGGGCACACTGTCTCATTGACAAGTTGAAATGTGAAGAGTGTCAAGAGTCCATCTTAAAGAATGCTGGGAAAACTCCTTGATCACTTGGTAACCATGAACAGTCCTCTCATTCACTGGAATCTACTGGACAGAACATGCTGTCGGTGTGTTCTTCCTGCTGCTCAGTGGCTGGCTCACTCTTCATGGATTCCTGTCTTATACTGTAGATGCTGGTGAGTAGAGGAGACTCCTGTCTTTAGCCTGAAGGTTTGGCTGTTTTTTTTTTTTGTTTTTTTTTTGTATTTCTCCTTCCTGCCTTATCACACCCTACACCTTTTTTTCTACTTCTTTTGTTTGCTTTAAATTCTGCCATACTATAACACTTCCTCACAGATATACTGTACATATGCAAAAGATAGACAGGTCATGTTGTCAGAATGAGTGAAGAAGTATTAACTGTCATGGAGACAATGTGTCAAAAAAATTTCACGCATCATATGTTGTTGTCTTCTTTTTTGCTCTCTTCTGCTTAAAGTAATCTATCATTTATTTGCTGGTCATGAGCAAAATGTAATGTTTTGTGCTAACATTAATCATTGCATCCTGCACAGCTTCTTTCAGACTGACGGAGTGCATTACTGCCACCTACTGGGTTGGAGAGTTTGCATCAGTGATACTGTATTGAATCAGAAATTAAGAATCTGAGAATGGCATTTTTTACTTATTATTTCTGTTGAGTTACTATTGGCTTTAAAAAAAAAAAGAAAAACAGTTCTGACTCCCTGCAACCTGTTAACACATGGTCAGAAGTAGAGAGGATACTTTTTGGCTTTTTTCTTTCACTGCCCTTTTGTTGTTGTACGTATGACAAAAGTTGTGACCTTATTATAAACTGCAGTGTCTCATCCATCAGCTCCTCCACAGCTGAAGGACGAATCTAAGCAGCCTCACAAATCTGGAGATGAGATTTCAGATGGAAGACAAATAACTTTTGGATATTGCCTAAAACTACCACATGTTTGTTATTCTGTGTGTCGACCCTGTGTTCATGGCTTTTTTTGTGTAAACCGACGCTGCACTGCAGCATATGGTTAAGATTAACCAGACTATGCCTGTAGTTGTTGTTAGATGAAACACATTGAACACGGCTGGTTTGCTCCTTGGGTCCAGGACATTTACCTGAACCTAGTGTGTCTCACACACAGCCCTCTGTGCCTCTGAAGACCCTCTTTAATTGGAGCCGTGTGACTCCTCGGTAATAGACGGAGTCTGACTACACACAGATGAATGGAGGTTTTCAGGACATGCTCGTTGGCTTTCTCTGCAGTGAAGCAGACCAACTTGAATTGCTGAGAAAGGTCTTTCTCTGAATCACTCCCCTGCACTCTTTCAACTATCAATCTGCTCAAATCCAAAGGTCTGTAACATCTCATGTGCTTGAAATTCAACCCTCAGATTATAGTGGTTTTGAACAACACTGTCATCACCGCGTACTACAACTACTGCCTTCTGTTGTTTTTGTGACAGACAATTACACTCTGTGCTTTCACTCAGACGTCTTCGACTTGACTTATGTCTCCTCCTATGCTGAAAAGCAGTAAAAGACTGCAGAGGTTATTTTCAGGCACCAAAAGTTCCTCGCTATGCATTTCAAGCTGCATATCCATAGATGGCACTGTGCAGCAAGCTGACTCTGAACGCTCTCTTGTATGGTTCATTGCAGAGTCACTTCCAGAACCTTTCCTGGCCACTGCTGCTGCACCTCCTCCCCCTCCTTCTCCTGCTCCTCTTGCTGGGCAATAACCCAATAATCTGTGACTAAAATCGCCTGTGTGGTTTAAGAAATTGCTCAATCTGATTCTGAGGAGCTTTTTTGTTTGAGGTCAGAGTGACTTATATTGCATTGGTAATAGGAAACGGCTATCTCTGTTCTCCCGTCCAATCTTCATGTTATGACTGGGGTTACATTCACAGTCATCTGATAACAGTAGTCTGGAGAAGGAGCTTTAGATTGGGTTACACTGGATCAAGGCTGGAGCAGCATTCAGATGGGTTGCCAAAGAATGCTGGTTGTTCCTTTTTTTAATGGATTTATGGATAGAAATGCAGCCAGCTTTGTTTCCACAGTATTTTCTGCATCTTTAGTTTTTTAATTGTCAACTCTGGAATGGATTTCTGTTGAACACAGCCAAATCCGGGTGTGCGCAGTCAGTTCTTTGAAAGATGTTTGTTTTATGGCATGGTATTTAGTCTAGTGTCATTGCCGGAGTTCCATCAAGTGCAAACAATTATATTCCTGCGTCGAAAAAAAAAAAAAACAGGCTTTAGCCATAACTCAAATAAACAGCATAATTGTTTTGTCTCTTAAGAGTTGATTGAATGTTGGCTTTTAGCCTAAATTGGTGATTTATTTTAGTGTCTAACACATTTAGCAGACATTTGCTGTGAAGCTGTGCTATTTCTCTGTCTACCATACTGTGAGATCAGGGGAAAAAAGAAGAGCCAGCTATATTCTTCTGCACCTCACAAGACAAAGACGGTCTTTAGAGAGTGGTAACATTGTCCCAGATAAATCAACTGACTTGTACCAGGATGCCTGCATCCTAATCTGTCCATGTGTATCCTGCAGCAATAGAAGGGGTGTGTTCCACAGAACCACTTACAGATACACTTACAGAATAACTCTAACTGTTTTGCAGATTTTATCTAGAGCTTGTGTGTGTGTGTGATTTAAAGTTCAATAAGAGGCTAATTGTTTGTGGTTTCCTGCTGCAGCTTACATTCCCAGAGCTGGTCAGCAGTATTTTATTGGTCGTCTCTGCCCATGCAAAACAATATTCGGAGTTGTCAGACAGAGCAGAGCTGCTATCAGCGCAGGGTGCTGTCTGAGAAAGTGTGTCTGTGTGTGTGTGAGTGTGAGCGTGAGCGTGAGCCGCGCTGGTGTGTGAGTTTTATGCGAGCCGCAGAGTGCAGCCAAGCCTGTCCAACGATGACACCACTGCCTCTCATCTCCAGTTCCATCTGGAACATGTTAATCCAGCGAGAACTCTTGACGCTCTCTCTGGTTCTCTAATGCTCTCGTCTCTTTAGTTTCGTCTCTCTGCCGCTTGGTCTGACACACTCTCTGTCCTTTTCTCTCTCTCTCTCTTTTATATCCCTGCTGCATCTGCGATCCATGCTGGCAGGTCCGAGCAGGAAACCTAAGTATGTGGAGAGTCCTCGTGTACCTTCTGATGCCATTGTCTCAGCGCTGAGGAAGGTGGCCGATAACAAGGAGTCCTCGCACAATGGTGAGTTTTGATATTTCACATGGGATTTTGGAAACTTTGAAACAAAGTTAGAAAGTCAGTCTTTTGTGATCCCTTTTCCTGTTTGTTGTTTGTTTGTAATATTGAAGCCTGTCTTTGTTATACCTAACCCCGATTTAAGGGTTTCTTCAGTTACTGCATGAGTGAACCGTTAAATGTGACCAGTGTTCCTGGCCCGGCAGACAAAGAAAGAAATGGTTTTGTGTTTATTTAAAAGCGTGTGGTTACATTTTCAGAAGAATCAGTTTTCCTCTCTGTCTGGAGAGACATTTACAGCGAAGCACTCAATTTGTCTCATGTGAACACAATCAAGGAAACATCCTCTCAGTAGAATTGCACGTACAGTATTTGTGATCATGTTTTTGATCACATGGCTGTCATTTAAGCCTTTATTATATTACTGCCTGATTCCTGTGCTCCGAGGTTGGGTTTGTGTGACGGCTTACATTCCTGCCATAGGCTGAGTTCTGTGGTGGCAGGATGTGATATTTTGAGGGAACAGCAGCAGAGAAAGCAGAGTTTGTTCTGATTGCACCTTGGCTCTGACATGCAGACAGTTGTAACCCTGAGCTGCCCAGTCACTGCTGATGTTACATACCAAAGCACGAGGGCGTGTCTGACATTGAGCCGGCACGTAGCATTGTTTGGGGTTAGAGTGGACGACAGGCGGGTGGAGGAATACAAAATGAATATCATGCCCGTCTCATCACAGTTGATGCAACTGCGAGTGAGTCAGTGTCATGGGTTTGAATCTCCTGGGAGTGTTTTGACAGATCTGTTTGTTGACATAACCTGTGGAGCCTCTGCCAATAAATGGACACAATGTCTGAATGTAGATGAACCTTGCTGCAGGTTACACAAACAGAGCATCTCACTCTAGTTATCTGATATTCACCATGTGAGTTGCCCTTATGAATTTCACAACCACATGCATATATATACATGCCCATGTTTTTTAAATAAAAAAACAGCTTGTCTAAGTTTTCCTTTCCCCTCTTTATTTTCTTTCCAACAGACATTGTTTGTAATATGAGGAAAGAGAAAAACCTAAACCAAAAAAATGTCTGGTTGCTTTGTACGTGTATTACTACACAGCATGTGCTTAGTCATTTTAGTGCTGTACTGTTTCAGGATCAGCTGTGATTTTAATATGGACAGTATATTTGATGTTCAATGAATGTTTGTTTGTTTGTTTTTTAACACCCATCTTTTCACAGTAGGTAAAAAAACTTTATTGTCGAGAATTTAAGATGTGTTTACGCTAATTATGTGCAATTAGGCAATGCATGAATTCTACACTAATAAGGGCTAATTGTAATGGCCCAGCTGTAGTGGGATAAACCAGCTGAAAGACATTTGGAGGATAGCTTCTCTCAATACCTTCTTTAAAAAAAAGAAAATCAATCTTTAATGTGATTCAGTTTGTGAAAGGCTTGTTTGCTGTTTACATCAGCTGGATGAGTGTGAAGAAATCTGTTCCAGCCATCACATGTGATGATGATCTATCTCGTCTTAATCCGTCACTGAACAGTCCGTCTATCAGCCCGTTGTCACCTCTGTCAGCAAGAGTAAACAATGCCCGCTTTTATTTTTGCTAAGTGCCGAGACAGGAGACGACGGTGGTTTAACATTGCAGCTTTTGTAACAAGGTCAGCGCCAACGTGGAATGGTGATAAACTGCTGGGAAAATCACACTCAAAAAAACAAATCCATTGTAAGTTTCACAGCACGAGGAGTAAGCATTGGTTAGGTTGCATTGGAAGAGCAGTAAATGACATTTTTAAAGTGGCTCAGTTCTGTTGTTGGAGTGCTGGATGGTGCTGCTGCTGTGAGTAAACATCTCTTATATAAACTAAACTTAGAGACAACTGGATGTCATTTTTGTTTATGTATGTTTTAGTTGGCTGTCCTCACATGTGGTTTGGCCTCGTTGTTTTATTTTGATGCACTTCTAGAATTAGAGTGTCAGTGCCATGCATGACTGGGATTTGGCTGCAGACTCAGAAAGTAGTATTCTTCTGGTCGGCAGCAGTGTTAACTCACATCATGCCGTTTTTCTTTCACATCTGTCTAAGAGCACAGGATGTGTAATTATTTTGTCCGCAGGCACGGCGACATTTGTTTGTGTATGTACAGTAGGGCTTTGTGTGCTTGTATGTGTTTGTAACAGGCAGTGGACTGTCATCCTGTCAAAACAGTTTCAGCTGTGGTCACAGGGCTCTGTCTCTGTCGATCAACCCTCTGCCATCCCACAATTATGGCTCTCATTTCTGTCCCCCTCGCTCCCCCCTCAAACCCACCATAACGTCTCTCACCAGTCAAACCCAGTGATGAACCTCAGCACCTGTTAATTCACACACTGTTCATTTTGTCATTATTGAACTTATCCACCATATGTTGTGCACCACGAAGAACACTACTGTATGTGTAACTGACGTCTAACTGTACTAACACGGAACGTTGTAACGCCAGTCCTATCACCATCATAATAATGTTTCTATGAATCCAAGGAAAGATAGTGATGGTATTAAATATCAGGCAGCACTTTCACTTTTCACTTCTTTTGGGAAATCTTTCTCACGTGATACAACTTTTGAAAGACAATCCTGAAGAAAATCTCTGAACATTTGCTTTTGTTACAACACCTTGTCTAGAAAGCCAGGTCAAAATGAAGCATTTTATAATCTTTGTCTCCATTAAATGCCAATGAATCGGTGACAGATCGGTGTTGGGCTCCAGCAGCATGTGTTGTTGTGACTGGTAAATCTGCCTTTTACTGGTGGGATTTGCAATTGGTAAATTGTGATGCACAATCTAACAACCACAGCTGGGATCCTGAGATGCTGTTTGCAAGGAATATTGGCAGATGATAGAAACCACGGCGCCACAGGCAACCTCTATTTAAACGCTGTGAATTGGCAATTCATGAGATAATTGTGAAATGATTCACGTTGTCTTTGTATAAGACTGTATTGAGGAATGGAGACAGAGTCGGGCCCAATAGTGTAATCAAGGCCTATTGTCGACAGTTTATATAACATACTGTGATAGTTTGGCAGCCTTCATATCTCTCCTGAGAGAAAGCACTGAGATTCTGGCAGCTGTGATGCCTACTTGGCTCTATATGAGTTGCATTTCAATCTCTTCTTCTTCTTCAGTGCAGAGCAGGTTTATTTTTTGGGTTACCTGTTTTAATCAACAGATGGGCAATTAGCTTTGATTTTTTTTTTTTTTTTTTTTTATCTAATGGTAGAACGTCATTAAGCCGTCCTGCCCACCTCCAGTGGATCCTTAATCAGCATGTCCCACAAGGCCGTCCCAGTCAACCTATATGGAGATTTAATTTCCATTGGCCAATTAGTGTGTGAATTGCCACCTTTGTTTACAATGAGACCAGAAATAATAACCGTCACAATATGGTGTCAAACTGAGATGTCAGTCAGACTCTGACTATTATCACACAAACATCCCCACCTCCCAAACCTCATTTTACTTGGAGATTCTGAATCTAAGATCCGGTCTTACCTAAGTATGTCTCATTGGACAGTCCATCTGTTCTCGTAGCAGAGGAGGTCTGTGGTTGTATCATCGGAATGTGCAATAGGCAGTGAACATGCTTCAGGGCAGCACGTCACCTCGTACCCCTGAACTTAAATGGTGAAGCAGGATGCATGTTCTCATTGAGGGTTCATTAAACAGGCTCTGCAGTTGTGGTAATGAAACTCCAGCTGCTAATGAGCACCGGCTGGATTGTTTTCTCAGCAGGGAGAGAGGCCAGACAACTATGTGAAGCCACTCAGTTCGTGGTACTCCCCCACCGCCTCATCCCTCTCCTCCGCCTCTTCCCGTCTTCATTCTTCTATCGCTGCACCGCATGGCTGCTATTTCACACCTGCTCATAAACTTTTTCAGGCGTTAGATAACAACATTGTTTTCCTTCTGCCTTCATTTGCTGTGCTGGTACTTGAATAACACACTGGTAGCATCCATTGCATTTGCATAACTCCACGTTTGTGTTTGGCTCATCAGATTTTGTATATGGAGCACAGGGAGCTAAATTACATCAGGCAGGAATTTTTAATTAACAGCTGTCCTTCATCCAGATAAACACAATCATTTTATATTGTGTACAGACAAAATGAAACTGTCTTTACTGAAGCGCCGCCGTTTTTAACCTTGGTCAAACAAGGTCATGTTTTGATCAAACAACCTTTTTTTTATATCTTTGAAAGCATTTATAGAATAAATAGAGAAGAGAATGTTTCTGCAATTTTTAAATTATGTTCTTTATATCTCAAAAACTAATGAAAGTTAGTTCAAGGTGTGTTGCTAATGTACATTAGACAAGAAACTCAAGGACTTACAGCTGTGTCCATTGCACCCCCTACAGGGGAGAAATGGCTGTGTTTGTTAACCTTGACAATTTAAGCATAATATTTTACAGTTGACAGTATGCAAACTTAAATGCCATTTGTGCAGATATATTTGTATTTCAAATTAGGTTCACATATACCTTTATTATGTAAACGAAATGTTCACATCCATTTATATAATTAATATATTTACTATTATAACAAATCATTTTTATACAAGAAATAAAATGTTATAGTTGCGATTTTATAGAATTTGACATTAAAGGTGACAAATTGCACCACCATGAAACTGCTACAATGAAATGTCTAATCTTCATTTACTACGCTGCAGCTGTTTTTTGTCCACCGGTCACTAAAAGGCTTTACCAGCTGTGAACATAAACATTATTTCACGAGGTCCGTTGCAAATTGGTAATTTAAGAGATGTGACCAAAATATGAACTGACAATTACATTTGACTACAGCCCTGATGTAGTGACAGATACTCTACAACAAACCTATGTAATGCAGTGATGTATATTTCATTGCAATGACTCACAAAGAAAAAAGCAAGTTCTCACTCAACCATCAAATACATAAAGTCTATCTTTGGCCCCCTTTTGACCTGTTATTAACATCCGCCCTGAATGATCTGTTCGCATATGGATGTTGTTAAAACCACTGTTCACACCTGGTATTACAATGTGTCCTGGAAGGCTCTCCTGTGACCACAGGAGATTGGATCTGGTTTCCCCAACCACGTTTTAAAATAGACCCTGACGTCATGTCTGTTAGCGAGAGCAAAAAGGTGTTTTTAACCAGTCTGACTGCACAGATGTGTCAGGATCTTTATATGTATATTTAAGGGCATGTGAGTGACAGGAGGATACAGAAACTGCATTAAAAAGGTTTCTACACAGCATTGTTGTTGGTAAACGACGCCCTCTGCAGAGGAAAAGGGCTCATGCTGAAGTAATGTGCTTTAAAACAAACAAAAACAAATTAATAAAATGATGATTATCGTTATTTGGATTGCAGCAGCCAATATATTTGATCTGAACTGATTAGAGTAAAAGTAATGTGACATTATGGAGGGTCAGTATTTGTGGTCAGATATGAGGGCATCATTATGAGCTCAGCAACATAGCCACATGTCAGGTAGAGGCTTCAGAAATATGAACAAGTCCTGGTTTGTGGAGCACTGACATTGGCATGTTTTAAGGACACCACAGGAGCCATCTGGACCTAATTAGACAGATTTATTGTTCCATAGATGTTGTTGATATGTGATAGAACTCGTGAAATTTCCATCATGATCAGAGGCAAAGGGTAGACTCTGGCCCTTGTGCCAACTCATTGCTTCCCGTTTGCTACCCTAATTATTGTGTTCTTTAGTATTTTCTTAGTAAATAAAGTTTTTGAGGCAAGCTTGGACGTGGTTTGGACGTGTGCAGAGAGAGGTTGGTGAATAAATTGGACAAAGGAAGTGGGAGATAGAGTTGCTGACAGAAGGAAAAGCAGAAAAAGATGAATGACGTTGTAAAGCCGTTACAGTAGAGGAAGCGAGGGGAAAGGTTGGACACAAGGCAGGTGATCAGATTTTGTGACCCCCGAAGGGAAAGAAGAGACCTGCGTCTGAATCATTTTTACAGTTTGTCAGTGACAATATTTCAAGGTCATATTTGGTGACCTGTGGTTTCCAAAGAGACTGTGGGGCGTTGTGCAGGGAAGGGTTCAAATTAATGTCAGATTAATTATTTTCTGTATTGGTCCAAACATCGGAAAATACATTAATTTCTCATTTTTATTTTGAAATGGACCATAGTTCCTTTATATCAGTTCAACCTCACCAGAGTCCGTTGGAAGCAGAGCAGGTCATGGTTCACAGAACACCCCATTGTTAATTAATGGAGAGAAACCGTGTAGACAGAAACAGGACTAGGCTGGAGTTTGAATTGGTATTCAACTGGAACAAAAAGAACTTTAATAATAACGTGTACTTTCACATTTATCCATACATAACAACTTATTTAAAATGGGCTGCGTTACCTTGATACGATAGCGACCAACACTTTTGTTGAAAGCTGCTGATAAATGTATAAAGTGATTAACACTGGCTTTATCCACTCAATTGTTACTTTTTGTTACCGTGAAATCTGCACCTAATGAGTAGGCAGACACTCCAGTGAAGGTCGGTTGATCATGCTTGGGGTCGATAGAGGTTTAAACACAACTAGACGTTTCCAGGGGATTACACTTACAGAGCCACCATTATATACCCATATATGACGTAAACACAACCTGATGTGATTGGACAGAATAATATTAATGCTGTTTAACCTCATTTATCAAAGACAAATGTAGGTCTGACTTCTCAGACTTGTCAGTCTGATTAAAAGTTTCACACCCATAAACCCCTGTGCAGAGATCCTAATTGGTCAATAGTTGACTCAGTGCACACTTTAACTGCAGCTCTGATATGAGCCTTAATTCCTTCTGTAGACACAAAAGTATCATTTCATGAAACTTGAAGCCTTTGGACTCCTTTGATCACGGCTGTGTTTTCTTCGCGGCCTAAAGAATATTTCATTTTCCAAGAATTAAAGGCAAGTGTCTCTTAGATGTGGTGCAACAGGCTGAAACACGGCAGCAATTCAAAATCTTAATTTCGTCATAAATTGAGCAGACCAAGTGGGCAGACGTTAAAAGTGAAATATGTAACGGACAACTTAAATTTGAAGAGATGTGTTCTGTTCTGTCATCACTTCAGTTTCTTTATTTCTCTTCCATAATTTTGGCTGAATGATGTGTTGGGCAATTTCCCAGCATGTGCAAGACTTTAATTTCCCCTCCTGTCGTGTACAGAAGATTTTGGTTGCTATCATGGTTTAGTTAAGTAATATCAGCTGCGTGTGTTATTGACTCATGTTAGAAAGAATTTCAAGAATGACATATTTGATAAATTAGGGGTGATTTCTTTCTTTCTTTAATTCTTGTGTGATTGGCTTTATTAGTCATGGGTTGTAAAAGAGCCTTGAGTGCTGGGGTTGGGGGGCATGTCAGGGCGAGTGTCTCACATGATGTTTTTACACTCCTCCCACTGACCCCTTCTGCCCTGTATTTTATAGTGGAGACAGATAAACAAGTGTGGGACAGGGCTGAGTGTCATGGAAACAAAGCTGCCTTCTTGTTGTGATGCCTGTCAAGAACCGTCTATTCTGCAATAATCATGGTCATCTCACATGTCTGTTAATGATACCAGTCGTCATCAAATACTACATCACGATTTTGAAAGGATTGATATTACCCTAAGTTCTGACCAACTCTTGGAAACTGACAAGTAGAACACTTGTAAAATAAAAAAAAAAGCTCTGATATCAACGGTACCTTTTTTTCCTACGTTGAGAAAAAAGGAAAAGAATTACACGATCTGAGAGATGAATCTGTAGCACTCCTCCAAGTCTTGTCAGAACGTAGTCTGGATAAAAGATTTGCAGCCAAAAGCAGTCTTCAGAAGATGTTTGAACAATGAAAAGGAAAAAAATTAATAGAATTCTCACCTGACAGGGTGAAATGGAGGCGAGGTTCTGTGAAATCTCTGTCAATATGTAAGAAATATATATCAATGACCACCAAGGAGGCTTTGGAATGGTCTAGGGTTGCATTCAGTCATTAGTGTTGGAGATCTGATATGGCCTAGTCTATTGAGGATGTCTAACAAAAGTTAAAAAAAAAAAAAGATTTCCATGTTTAAATATTACGTTATTATTAAGTTTCTAGAAGGTTAGAAGAAGATATTTCGGACTGTGTATCGATTGACTTCTTTGTATCAGACAAGAATGTCAGATGTTATTGTTGGGATTTATTAACTCTGCTGATTGACCATCGACGTGCTCACCTAATGGACCACAATGCAATAATCCTGAAGGCCCATATGGGTCATAAAAAGAGATGCTTATTAAATTGTGTTGCTAGAAATACATCCCGTGCCACAATGGCTTTATAAAATCAAATTTGACAATTTGTTATTTGCTTAAGATTAAATAGAATCAGACACTCGACACTATATTGAATTACACATATTCTTTTGTTTCACGTTGAAACCTAGATGTGAGTGCACTGGGCTGTTGGTGCAGCACATTCAAAGTGCTTGTGTGTTTGTGTGGCAGTATAGCGTGCCTTTGGACCTGATTTGTATTTAATCTGATTTACTGCCAAACATTATTAATAACTGTGGAAGAAAGAGATGAAAATGAAGGAGAAGAGGAAAAGGTGCTGACAGAGAGCTGTATAATAAGCTTTTGTACCTTGTACCTCTCTCTCTCCCCCCCCCCTCTATAATTCACAATCATTTTCTAAATGACTTCTTCTGCTCAGAAATAAGGTACAGTAGAGGGCAGTGATATATCTCAAAGAATGCTAACATTCTAATATAAATAACAGAGTTATTTATATTAAATTATATATATTCTGTTTTTATGAATTGGTGCTGTATGTTTGAAAAATGAACTGAAATTTTCTCACATTGTTTTTGGAGGTGTAAAGCAACAGAGAATATGAGGAGCTCTGAACTAAAGCATATCAGTGCCTCCTTTGAATCGGACGGTCAGATGGTTAGCTGTGTGGTTGATCAGGCACCTAGAAAAACCCCATTCCCTGAGAGCAACCACTGCCTCCCAGGAATGGGTTAAATTCTAGCTTTTGGTTTTACTTTGAATTAGGGAATGCTTTGACCAAGGAGGAGGTTATGGTAACAGAGTATCTATACTGTTAGTAAGAAAAGGGTTTTTTATGATTGTAGGCAAACAATTGTTGCATACCTTTCTCTTGCAGAAGCAAGGATTTAATTTGGAACTGGTATTAAGTGGTAAGCAATAAACCTGCAGAGAAGAGTGTTCTGGAAAGACTCAGCGTCCACTCATTGTTACTCAGAGGCTTAGGATGAGATCTGTAAACAAGCAGAAAGCTCTGGGACTGGCACTCCAGGCATGTCGCAGGGCGAGCCCTGGAGAACATGTTTGTTTCTCTGTAATGTGAGGACATTCCATGTATGTATCTGATATGCGTTAGTCGAACTTGAAACGCAGCTCTTTGAAGTCTGGAGGATGAAACAGAAATGTCCAAACAACAGTGTTTTCCAGTCCATTTGTCAACGGAACCACAGAGAGACATTTTTACAACTCGCACTGTCACACAAGGTCTCTGCTTTTTTAACTGTGCCATGGACACACACACACATACACACACACACACACACACACACACACACAGGGAGAGAGAGTGAGAGAGCCCATCTTCTACTCCCCCAGCCTCCCTGCTCTTCCCTGCTCCCCTCTCCAGGTCTGCACTACATCAGCAGCAGCTGGGGAGTGCAGCATATCATTTCAGAGCGCGGCACTGAAGAGGGCAGGGTGGGCAGAGTGGCCCATGTGTGGGCCATCCAGTGTGGAGAGGGAATGAGCGAATCCTCCAGTTAACGCTGAACCCTTTTTCTCTCCCTCTCCTGCTCTCCTCTCCTAGAGCTGCAAGCGGAGAAACAGCAGAGCTCCTCCTCTCCTGCCACCCAGGAACTGATGACAAGACTGGGCTTTTTACTGGGAGAAGGGATCCCGGGCACGGCACACATACCTATGGACGACAAGAATGAAAAGAAGGTATTTCATTTTCCTCCCTCCCCTTTAACTCCCTCCCTCCCCTCTGACAGCAGCTGTTGCCACTGCTCCAATTCACTGGTAGAGGAGAGAGAGGAAGGATGTGAGAAGGGAATTGTTAGAGCGAAGAAGAAGAAGAATGGATTATTGCAGCTCAATTATTTTTTATACTTTTGTAAGGAAATCAGAGGAAACACTTGGAATAATCCTTGGGAACAACAGGGGTAACTATCAAACTGTTCTGTTTCAGATGTTAGAGATGATTTAAAGTAAGCAACTGCCTTTTAAAAGACGCTCAAAGTGGTTTTTATTTCTGTGGCGAGCGCTCCACTCTGGTGTTTTGGTCTCCCAGTAACTTGAGTGCAATTCCAGGAGCTCTTGACTATGTAACAAGAGTGTCTGAGCTCAGGTCCAGAAATAGTTGTGTTAGGTTTAAGCCTCAGTTTGTTTGGCTCTTCCAATTAGTCTCTGGCTGTACTGTATGAAGAGCAGAGAGAGCAGCACACTGGGCTGGTCTCGTTCTCCTCAGCTCTCAGACACGCTTTGAGTCAGACTTGGCAAGAAGAATGTGAATGGGGAGTTACTTTTAAGAACAAAAACAGGATCGTTGTCAAAAGTCTGATGGTGGCAGAGGAGACAGACAGCAGGCGTGTGACTTCACAGCTCAGGTTTTGTGAAGGGACGCGATGTTGTCATCTGCCAACAATTCCCTTCTTTCCTGCATGCTGCTGTTTTACAACCTACCTCTACCTCAGCATGTTGTTTTTAAATCTGCCTCCGAGTTAATAATTAAAATGTCAGTGAGCTTTCTGGCTCCGACACGGTGAGTGGCATAATCTGAGGTGCAGCCTCCGGCTGGAGGTTGCCTAGCAAAGGCTAAGTGCACAAACACAAATTGGACTCAGAAATGAGAAAGTTTGTGCAAGGATTCAACAAGTTGTTAATAGTGCTGCCAAGTACACGGTCTCCCTCCTATTCTGCTGTGTGTATCCTGTCAGCATGTCATTGTACCGACATGTAGCCTTTACAGCATGTGGTGAGTGAGAGGTCAGAACAATTTCACATCAGAGTCACCATTATTGGCAGATTTGTGTGGTTTACTTTCTTTAGTGTTTATTATGATGATTATGATGATAATGATTGTCATTATTATTGTTATTTCATAAATTAGTCTTAGCCACAGTATGTGAGGGGAAAACTGAGAGGGAAGAGTGAATAGTTTTAATAATAAAGGCTTTATAGAAATATTCTGGTATAATATTTGGTTGTTTGTCTGATATTTGCCATTATAGATTGCCAGAACTGTTTATATATCTACAGCTATTTCCTACTAGAACTGTTTATATATCTACAGCTATTTAACTATCTATATATTTAAAATTATTTAACTGTTTAAATAATTGAATTTTTTTATTTATGGGTGTGTATGTATGTATAAATTTACACATGCTGTATGTGAATATATATCTATATATATATCTATATATCTGTATATTATTTTTTTCATATAATACCATAGCGATAATGTGGTATAATCTCGTAATATGCATAGAAATCTTTAACAAATCTATAAAATTGTGTCACTGTTCAGGATTTCTTTTCTTCTACTTTCTCTTCTGGTGTGCGGCTTCTTTCATTGTATTGTATTATTTTATACTGTTCTGTCTATTCTTGTGACTTTTCATGGTGTTGTACTGACACTGGAGCCTTAATTTCCCAAAAGAACTGCCCAAGGGATTAATAAAGTTCTATCTATCTGTCTATCTATCTAGAAACACAATAAAGGTAAGGGATGACGGTGGAACGGGACAAACTGGCTTTAATTCTGATTTGTATGGTTGTCAGTCGGCTCTGTGGTTGTCAGGCAGACTTGATGACAGGAGGAAGGTGTCTTTTGTGGCAGAACAAAGTCAAAAGCACTTCTCATTAGAATTTCTCTTTTTACTCCAGTTTCTCAGAGAGACGACTGTAATTTCCACAGTTAAGGAGTTACACTGCAGAAAAACCTTGCACATAAGAAAAAAAAGAAACAGTGAAGTATAGAAATATAAGTATAGATAATGTACATGGTTAATAGTTATAGCAGGTTTGGGAAATTCTATTTGCAGAAGATAGGACAGAATACAACAGGCTTTACTGACATGAGACAAGCACTTGAACTTGAGGTTAGAGATTCGTGAAAAGTCTTTATTTCATGACATTACTCTTTCCTTATTTCCTTATTTTGTTGATTTTTCCATTGTGTTGACCCCAAAATTGCAGTGTTGGGCTGAATATAATGTAGGCTGATGATATGAGAACCATGTCTTTTCTGACACATCGGTGTTAAAAGCACTTCTCTTTTTATCCCGTTTTCCTCAGATTTATGACTGTAATTTCCAGACACTAATTAAAGGGCTTATTCTCGGGTAATTTGTCACACGTATGTGCAGAAAACCCTTTTGATTTGCTTTCATGTGACCTGCATCATATAGGCAATGCATTAACAAACCACTGGAGACTGTTTGCAAACATTTTTTTTTAGCATTTATCTTGTGTTGACACAGTGTTAATGATTTGCTTTGTTACCCCCTGACATACATGAGTAGCATGTATGTCAAACATTAACCCCTTTCTCTCCCTTTCACCAGTGCTCAGTGACAAGCCAGGGCATCAGCCCCTGCTCCACTCTCACTAGCAGCACGGCTTCACCCTGCACCGACAGCCCATGTTCCACACTCAACAGCACCACCAGCCGCCCGCCTCTCAGCCGCTCCAGCCCCTGTGGGACCATCACCAGCCCCAGCTCCACACTCGAGAGCAAGGACAGTGGGATCATAGGTAAGAAATCACCGTGTTCATTATACTGTTAGCAGCCGCCTCTGTAATGTTACCCCGAGGAGCTTTTACTAGTAATAAAGCTATGGAGCAGTGCTCTTTTGTTTTTTTGTTGTTTTTTTTTTTTGTGTGCAACCCTTTCTGTTTGAGTCTAGGAATCAGACCAGGCTACACACAGGAGTGCTTTTGCTGAAAATTACTGTCACCAAATATTTAATATTTAGAGCTTCTAACCGTGTTTTTAAAGTAAAGTTTCACTGACCTCTACAGAAAACCAATCTTGCTTACCGCTGACTGATGGTCAATAAAGGCATTTATTGTTACTTTGTATGCAAACACATGTAAACCAGTCAGTTCTAGGAAAACATCACTGTAAATGTCCAGGAGTTTGGGTCTTTACAACAGTCCTGTCTACAGGGGGGATTTTATCACAAATCCTAAAACATCATATAATGTTTGCAGTTCATCGTACAACTACATGCACACATTCCAAACCACACACTTACTGTACGTATTGTTTCCCACGAAGTCCTTTGTCTTCTAATTGGTCGTCTGAGAACCACATGCCTGCATGCTTCGTAATTGAGAATTGAATATTCTCACCTGAGTGGTGTCAGTGTGTTATTCATCATTTTGTTAAACCTGCCAGAACTGACGAGAAGGTGTGTCAGTTTGCATTGTCCTTCTACCATGTGACAGTGAGTGAAGGCATGTTAGGCTTCTTTAAGCAGCTGTTCCTGCATAAGTGAACTGCCTGGTGACAGTTTCCACAGTTTGACACTGAACTCTCTCCCTGGTTATAGTTATGAGACAGCTGAGAGCTGAGAGTTAACTTAGTTCATAGACAAACCCTGTTTCACTTACCAATACTGTTATCATTTTAATATAATAATATATGTGTGTATGAGTATATATATATATAAATATGTATTTATATGTATACAATGAAAACCATCAGGACTCAGGAAGCTGAGAAACACCTATATACAGTAGGAATCATCCAAAACATTGGCTATTTCCCAGACTTTATGGATTTTTCAGCAGAACTGTGCCAAGCCCCATTCTGCTCACACAACGAAAGCACAGCTTTGTGGACATTAAAGGTGTGTGCGAAGCTGATCTATCTGCAGTTCAGTCCTCTATTGAGAAAGTCTGGCACACCAAGCAGAGGGGAGTCAGACTTTGGAGGCCACGGACGGTTGAGCAGCTAAAGTTCTTAAACCGCAGGAACGAACAGAAGCTCCACTGGCGAACTGCAACAATTAGAATCTTCTGTTTCCAGCCAATTAAAAAGTGTGTTTAAAAGAAGAACAGATGTGATCCAGTGCTAAAGTGTGTGTTAATAAATAACAACCTGCTACTTTTTAATTGCATTTTAGAACTTCTCTAGAAATGGGGGTGTATTGATCACTCTGCTGTTGGACTTTCTTTGGAAATAAAATATGAAACGTGCTCATTTCTTTACACCTAGCGTATGGGTGCAAGTAGTAGCTGGTTGCTGAAGTGCACTGAATCCTACCATAAACATTAATATTTTTAATATATATTTTTTAGGTAATATTTTGTCTGACAAAATATTTCTTTAGCAGAGAGGCAGTGCATGTATAAATTAAATAAAAGGATACACGTCGCTGTTTCATCTCCATAGTTTTGTTATATTTGCTACAGGAGTTTTTGTTTCATTCCCCACAGAGCAATCTTTCTGCTCACTGCTGAATAATTTATGGAAGTTGTAATATAGTGCCTTTCAGCATGTAACACTGATAGGCTGCCACCCACATTAGGTTAGAGCCAACAGTCACAGAAGTTTTAGTGCTTTTTAAAAAACACTTTTGCTTATGCAAAATCACAGCTTCTCCAAACATCCCATCAACCCGACCGCATAAGACGCCTCAATAATAGTAGAACAAAGCTTCGTTGTATCCACAAATCAGATTCCAGGCCGTGATAAACGTTTTCCTCTTCTTTGAAGTTTGACGCTGACTCTGATTTCAAAAGCACATTAATTTAGGTATGTACTGCATTAAAAGCCTTTGGAATTCCACAGACTTAACATTGAGAAAACAACTACCAGACAAGTTGCTTCATGAGGCTCCAGCAGGGAGGGGCGACTCACATAAGACCGATAGTAATGCCCACATGCTTCTAATGTTAGAATTTAGAGGATATATTTCAGCAAAATCCAATCTGTGAGAACTTCCAGCACTCTGTTGAGTGTGTAACCTCATGTTCCCCTCTTCTGTAAGCAGCAGAGCACTTACATGACCCAGAGTATGTTTGTGATAATAGTATTAGTTATGATGCTCCGCATTACTGCATTATGAAATACAGATTAGTCATGTGTGAGGCCAACAAAGCCAGTTGGCTGTACTGATGGTTTGTATCTGGCTGCCTCCCTGTAAGTAGCCCTGGGTCTCTGCTCAGCTTTTGGTACAGTGTCAGAAGACTGGGCCGCTCTAGGTAGGGATTAAAGGATTTGATGTCATGTAACCAAAACACCTGTCTAAATTTAACAAAAAACAAAACACTAAGGCTGTTGAACTGGAATTTGTTCCCACAACACGTGTCATTTGTTTGGTTTTACATCCTTTCACCATATACAGTATTAAATCCTTTACTTGAACAAAACACATAGAGAACCTGAAGAAATGTAGGCTAAGTCTGTTAATGTCATAAGGCCATTCAAGGTTAGGAAGTTAACTGTATCTCAGCTTTGCAGTTGTAATTATTTTTAGGCCAAAAGAAGGTAACGTTTTAGACTAACTAAGTCAAAATAAACTGTTCTCCCCGGCTATACCCTCACGTCTGTTTGACTAAGCTGCTCTGAGCTCCTCAAAAGTGTAATTAAAGAAATGTGAGTTCCCTCCAAAGATTAATGGGTGGCCCAAACATTGGCTTAAAATAAACCAAAAGCTAAAAGTTACTCAAAACAGTTTTAAAAAAAAGCATACAAAGCAAAAAACATAAAAATTAGACATCTATCACCACCATATTTGTCAAGAAATTTTTCACAAATAAAAAGCAAAAAAATCATTCAATAAAATCTTAACCAAATACCAAAAGAATAATCAAAAATAGCTAAAAAAAGTACCACAGGTTAGCTCAAAGATGCTAAAATATTTTGTCAAGGTGAAAGCTAAAAGCTACAATGTCTTGTGCAGGTTGAAAAAACTACTACAACAATGCTTTAGAATTTCCTTGAGAAAATATTTGCAGGGTGCATTTAACACACTTTCTCATCTCCCATCATGAGCTAAATCATTTTACCATTTTCATCTCTTCTCAGCCACCATCACCAGTTCTTCAGAGAATGACGATCGCAGTGGATCCAGCCTGGAGTGGAGTAAAGATGGCAGTCTGAGAGGCAGCACGCGCCATGGCCTGGCACAGAGTGTGCGGGCCGACACCTGCTCCCCTGTGGCCGAAGAAGACTCGAGTAGTGCCACAGCCACACAGGCCGACACCCCATCTCGGTCAGACCAGCAGCCGCAGCCCAGCACCTCAGCTGGGGCACTGGTGCCGTTGCATTCTCCAACCAACTCGCCTGAAGGACCTCTTCCCTACCCATCCCAGACATCATCTTCCCTCATGATGCCGCGGCCAAACTCTGTGGCAGGTATGTGCTCTTGGTGTTTGAGCGTCCGACATCTGGACGTCCTCTGTGTGACTGGAGAAGCAGGAGTAGATCTGCATGTGTTTCCTTAGTCAAACATTTGATTCAGTGTTCCTCTCCTCTGCAGCCTAGTAACCTTTGTCATGTAATGTAAGACTTTTGCGTCCCATCATAATTGCAACACAGTGACATGACCTGCACCTGAGTCTGACGAGTGCAGTGTCATTTCTAGTTGCAGGAGAAGTCAGTGAAAAAAAATTGACATTGGTAGAGTAAAATGAATTTGAGTAGCAGAGGTTAAGGATTAGCCAGCTGCTGTGTGTTGTACCATGACCTGACCTGCCGTGTTGGACCTCCACAAAAACTATAGCATGGTTGAGCTCCGCTGCATTCCTGTCATGGAACCTCCCTGTTATGGCTCAGCTTGCCATGTCCACACAGCTGTCACAGTTGTTAATATACCTCACAACCCCCTCCACTCACAGTCTTTACATTCTCTGGTCTCCTTCGCACCACATATATTTGTTTTTACTGCTTCTAAAATGAAGGTCTTTACATCTTTATGTTAAACATAAACCATTATGCAGTCACAAAGGAGGCAGGAGTAGGTATCTTATTTGCCAATAAGATTGGCAATTTTGCTGGCTTTAAACAAAATATTATGTTTTGTCAGGGTACTGTGAATGAGCTGAAGGAACCATGACCTGCAGTGCAATCCAAGATTCATATCTTAAAAGCTGGACGGGTTTTCACTCACTGAAATGCCACGCTTGCAATGTTGGACCATTGGAGTATAACGGAACCTCAGGGTTCTTGTAGGTCCAATAGAAGACATTCTTGCCTGTAGGGGTGATATATGATCATTCTATTCTATTCTATTCTCCCTCATGCACCTTTTGGAACAGAATTATGATACCATCATCTGCAAACAAACACACACAGCAAGGGAAATTACAGAGATGCTGAGGAATAAAATCAAAACACAAGTGGATTCTGGTCAACACAGTTGGCCAAACAAAGACAGAAATTCATATGTGCCTCAAGTTCCACTTTGTGATGATTACAGCATGGTTATTTTGAAAGCTTAAGTGACCTTTGCTGTGTTGTCTTTAATTATCAGCCAAGTTGTTTAGATATATTCTGGAAATAGATGCAGAAAACAGAAGAATGTGTCCCATGGGTCGTATATAGAACACATGTCACTGCACTGTTTTTTCCACGTCCCTACAGCTGAATCTGTGTGTTGTAAACATGAAGTCGTAGAAGGGATTGTGCTGAATGTGCCCGTTTGGTGCCCATTGTGTTTTTCCATGAGTCTATACCCTTGAGCATCTTACTATATACCTCCCCGTCATAAACCTGAGCACTGCAGACACACACACACACCGTATCATAAAGCTAACAGACCAAAAACAGTTTGAACGTTGGTGTGTGTTGGTTGGTGTGTGCCCCTCTCTGAGTGTACTACCAAGGGTTTTATGGGCTGATGTCATAGTTATGCAGTGTTAACCTCTGGGGGCCTGTGGAAATCACACCTCGGGTTTTACGCAGTGTGAAAACGCCCGGTGAAAGGACGTTGAAGACTTGGAGAAACAGCTTCTTTTATGACCTAAAACCACTTTTGTTGGCGTGCCAGGGATGTCGCTGCTGCTTCAATACTAAAGGAAATTTGATGGAATAAAAATAATGTCTATAAAGGTGCAGTTACTATGACAAGAAGGAGCTGAATGGAGGAAATATTACTGTATAAAAAGCAAGAAAATGCAAGTAAATATGCAGTGTGTGCCAAAATCCTTTGTAAAGTGAGTTTTACTCAGCGGCAGAAGCTATATGATAACAAGGCATCTCCTGTAAATCTGTAATTCTTTATAGACACTAAACAAAGATGTGTGCATGCAGGAAATGTAATGGCTCTGTTTCTTTGTGAACAAATGTTCCTGTGTATCACTAAACCTCTAAATAATCCTGCATTTTTCTTAATTCTCCCCACATAATTACATAGTAGCTGTCCTTAAATGTACAGTATAAGAACATAAATCAAAAATATATATAAAAAAATATAGACAGAAATTCAAAAACAATATATCTGCATTCTTCATATATGTAGCCTTGTGGCCAACATATGTCAAAGAAATCAATTAACTTTACCCAATATATTGCCCTGCTGTCTCTGGGTAGCAACACCTGTAATACCATTCCCACACAGAAGAGGGGAAAAGCAAAAGTGCCCATTTAATGTGACTTCACATCTCCAGAAGTGACGTTGTTCTTTCCTCTTATTATTTGACACAGCAGGGGAATATTGGGACAGGTACAACGTACAGTAGACATAATGGCAAACAGTTGCACACAGTTGCAGCACAAAGTCTCAGAATTCCTCAAAGACCAAGTGCAATTTTCACAGCTGCCTGATGCCACTCAACCGGTGTATACGTTAGCAGCCAGAGTCTTAGCTGTGAAAGTTCCAAGGAATGGCTGTGTATCACCCAAAAGTGTCATTTTCACACATACATTTATATACACACATACACACACACACAACTCGCATAGTTCAGATCTGGTCCTTGGGCTGTGGTAGGACTGGGAACACTGCATGGAGCCAGTATGCTCAGTGGCATGTTACACAAATGTTGGCTCACACCAGCTGTCACTGCAGACAGGCCTGAATTCAGATGCCTCTGTGGGAGTTTGTAGTTGTATCGCTAGCTGACTCTAAGGAGGTACAGTAACTCTGCTGCCATTCCAGACTGTGAAGTATACAACACTATTGTATGTGTTGCTGTCACATTTCATTTTCAGTATTCAGTAAGAACCTGCAGGGTAGTTAATCTGCAGTTGCTTGATTAAACTGTGGTTAGGATTGAAGTGATTCAATCAGTGCTGGAGCTGCAGCTGAAAGTGTCTGCTCTGCAAATACTTTTAACCTCACAGGAAAGCACAATGTTCATGCGTGAGATAATACTCACTTACATTCAATTACCCTTAATAAAATGTCCCCAATGGCACAGTAGCTTTTACAGTAACACGGTACTTGCATCCGAGAGATGCATCCTTATCGTGACCTCACTTCCCTCCATCTTCCTTGGCCCCAGTAACTTCTCTTTGAAAACAGAGGTTGTATTTTGGGTCATTCAAGTTCAGCTTCTTAAAAGGCTTAAAGAGTCAAAGTGCTAAATTAGTTTTGGCTGTTGGAACCACCATGATTTTGAAATCTTAGCCTGAGGCATTTGTGGTCGTGTTGCTCAGACTGTGAGAGTGATTTCAGGGTCAACATGGCTGGGGATCGGAGTTACAGTGATGTTTTACTGTGCAGCACAGCTTTGTGGTCTGAAGAAGCATGGTAGCACAACACACACGGTCGTCATTAGTAGTAGATCTGATCCCTGCTCTTTTTCATTTGTTCTGTCTGCTATTGTTATCATAATTTAAGATAGAGTTGAAAAAACAGAGTTTGAAACCTTGGGTTTTATGAGTGATATGTGATTTAAAACGCTTTGCCATGGTTAGAAAGTTGCACAGAAACCACAGTGTGGAATTGTTTCTGGTTCACTGCAGGCCTGTCTTTCTCTCATTTTCTCTCCTTTCTTCCTGAATGTGTCGGTGTTCTCTGACGTCACCAAGTAGCTATGGAAGTTCTTGCCTTTATTTAGACATTGATCCATTGAGGGCAGAAAGCATGGAGAAAGCAAAAAGAAAACACATGTGCCATTCATGTCCAGCAGCATTCTGAAAAGGTCGCAGTCACATCTTTGAAAATGTTGTTTTTTAGAAAATGGTTGGAGCTGCTGTAACAGGAGGAGAAACAATACAAGGAACACAGCAGAGATCAATCTGTTTGACTTTCAAGGAGCCTTTTGAATTCTGCTCAGTGGCAGCTATCGACGGATCAGTACGTGCCAAATGCCTGGCCTCAAAGGGGCAGTGCCAGTTAAATACTCAGACACAACAGAGCAATTTGTCTGTGTTTGAGTAAAGGCACCCTGTCACTAAAAACTATGTAATGGCTGATCAGGAACTGTGCTACTGTTGTGATGGTTTAAATGTCCTTATGTCCAACTGACCATCTTAATACTTTCATATGACGTCGCTGCGTAACTCACACTGTTCATAAAACTGGTGTCTTGTTAAGCCTGCCATCTGTTTAATCAGAAATGAATCAAAATTAAATCATTACTGGCCAAGAAGGGCCTCCAGCATTAAGACTATACCGAGATCAGGATCCATTCATTGCAAAAGAAGCTTGGTGCAAACATAGCAGTCAGAAAAGTTCAGTTCAGTGAATGAAGAGTGTAAAGGCACACAGAATGCTGCAGGTTCAAATCCAACATCATGCCTTACCCTGAATCCTATCCTGATTAATGACAGGCATTTGTCAAGAAGGGCCTTCAGCATTAAGACTATACCAAAATCAGGATCCATTCATTGCAAAAGAAGCTGTTTACCTAGTAGGTATGACTGTAAACCCTTCAGCAACATGTATGTTTTAAAATTTATATGCACCATGATTTTTTTTAATATGGAGTAATTTTTTTAAACCAATGATATTTTGAGACCATTTTCCTACGGATTCACCAGTTTTCCTATGTACTTGCAGTTAATTCAGTGGTTCCAGCCTAATTTGTAGACAGGAACCTCCCACATCGACACGTTCACGACTATTGCTTTGAATCTCAACCGAACTTGTTATTTTATAACAGCAACTGCTTTTCTCATCAAAGAGGAAATAACATGACAAATATGGGAAATTTCTCCACAACTTAGGAAAATACTAAAACTGACATTCATTTGCCTTGCTGCACCTGGGGAGGGGAGGCGCCCCCCTTTTTGGAAGCCACCGCGTACCTAAATACTATTTACATGTGCATCAGTACATATCTCCACATTATGATGTAACTCACAAAAACTTGTGCTGTTTGGAATTTACTGCTTAGTTGTGTAACTCTGAGGGGTTTTGTTGTTAACCCAGTTTATTGCCTGCTCTGGGGCCAACACTGATGGATGTGATGGACAGCCTCTTGTGCATTTCCAAAGGAAAAGTTCTTTGCATAGAATTTTGAACAAATGTTTTTCATATCCTTATTTTCACAATGATGGAGTTTCCAGTCCCGGCTCTGTGATATATGCATGATCCAGGCAGTGCAAAGAAAATACGTCTTCCTTTAACAAACACTTTGGCCCAACAGTTACTCTTGGAATTTCAAAGTTTCCATGGCAACAAGCCCAATTTGCATGCAGGTCATCCAATTTCCACTTGAGCACTTAGTCAGCTTAAGCTTAAGTCATTTTGATAATACTGCAGTGGTGTTGGGTCAGGGCTAATGGGGATGTGTAGAGTTTTTTAAGAATAAAAAAATCAAGACATTTTCCACAGTGTGCAAGTGATATTGACGTTACAGCAACTAAAGGATTTTTTAAAATATATTTTCAACTTGACCAAAGTATATCCAAATTTAAATCTATTTTAACATAATTAATAAACAGATTCAGGTGAGTGAAGAATAAATAAAGCGTTTGTTCAAGAAGAGACAGGGATGTAGAAGTGAAGGGTCCGGGGGGAGGAATGGAGGGTCGGAGTCGGAGCAGAGGAGCTGTCATGGGAAAAAATATGACTGAAGGTTTCAAAGGGCAAACCTGCCTGAGGAAAGAAAAACAGAATACCATTTTCATTAGAAGACACTTTTGTGCAGCTTCAAAGTCTCCTCATCTAACACGGTGAAAGTTTCAAGGTATGTGTACGTTCTATCAGTGAGGAGAGACGAGTGAGAATAGAGAGGGAGGAAAGGAATCTGGATAGTGAGGATAGAAATAGGATTAACAGAAACCATTGAAGACGTAGTCGAAGCAACCTGTGTGAATTTTACATGAAAAGACGATTGTTGAGTGTGTTTTACCAGTGAAGGAATGGAGTAGTGAAGGATTCATCAAAGTCAAACTGAGCATTTGCTTCAGTGCTTGCTTTTGGACCACTGGAGGAAACGATGATCATAGTGTAGAATATAGTTGAAAGTCGGTTTTAACTTCTCTTTGTGAGAAATCTTAAAGAACCTTTGGAAAGAAAGAAGATGAAAAAAACCCACAGATACGTCCTTGTTTGCCCTTATGATGTCAGTGGTAGAGATTTGCTGCATAGACTTGATTCACTGTCCATCCCCTCATCGCCTCTCCCTCCTCCTTTGGTAACATTTCTCCCTCACACCCACCTCTCACCCCTGTCCATGTCACCCCCTTACTGTTTATTGCATCAGCGTCTCCCTCCGTCTCGTACCTTGGTCTCACAGACAGCCAAGATCATTTATCTGACATCAATCGCTGCATATTACACACTCTTAATCGACTGCTGGAGATAAAATTAAGAATATGTGTATGTGTGTGTATGCATGTGTGTGTGTGTTTGAAAGCAGCACTTAGACGGAGATCTGAGCTTGTGTGTCAGGAGCGTGACTCTCTCCTCCATATTCATTCAGTGAGAGCCTCATGCTTTGGTTGCTCTGACCGGTGCTGAAGCAGCAGCCAAGCTCTCAGTCCAGCAGCTGAATGCTGCCAGTGTGCCTGCATTAAAGCACCGCGGCAGAGGAATGGCTTTTGTGTCCTCTGTGAGCTTCTACCCATTGGGAACACTCTCCCCCAAGAATTGGCTGTGGATTTGCACCCAACCCTCTTGTCTTTGTGCCTGTCACGATAAATTCCTTACTTTAGAAAAGGGGAGATTATTTGGAAATTACTCGTGCTCTTCTTGACTCTTGTGCTGTAAGTAGCTGTGCAGTTAAGCCTTGGGATCAGACTTGATCTAAGGTTCCCAGTTGAATTAGTGGGTAAAATGGCTGGATTGGCGCAGTGGTAGGTTTCCCACCTGCCACAAGAAGGCTCTCTCAGTTTGATACCACCCAGTCCCCAAAACCCAGGTTGTGTTGCATCATGAAGGACATCCGGTCTAAAACAAAAACTCTGCCAAATCACTGTGGGTGGACTACAACAAGACAAAAATGATTTTTCATCTCCCTTTTAAATTGGTGGAGAAAAACAGACTTTGATAACCATTAACACGTTTGAGAGAATTTTCTTTTTATCTACAAACATTTCTTTCTAATGTCCAGTTGCATGATTTTTGTGGAATGTTAGAACGGTGTTGTTAAATATACTTATAATCTTGTTATTCTCAGCTTTGATTAGTATTGTTTTTTCCCACCTCATATATTGAAATTAATTTTGCTTTGCTGACAGTCTCAAAACAGCTCCACGCCCCCTAGTTTGGGAACTACTGCTTTAGAGGAGCACATTATCAGCACGTAGAGATTGATTTTTGTATGATTTTTTGTTGTTTGTTTTTGACAACTTGTGAACGAGATCATCCTTTTTACAGCTTTTTTGTCTTTTCTGCCTTTAACTTGTGAACAAGATCATCCTTTTTACAGCTTTTTTGTCCTTCTTTTCTATCAGTCGGCACTGAACCCACAGCTCCTCTCACTCGGTTATTGGCAGACAAGTTTTAATTAGTGGGACATTCCAGAGGGTAAAGTTTGCGACCAAGTGAGGGAGGAGAGTTGAGTGTTTGTGACAGTCTGTCCCAGCTGACACTGATAAAATAGAGCGCAGCAGCTTTGATTCTACTCTTCAGCAGGGCCAAAGAGAGCAGGATCACCATGGAGATGGCATTGTTGAAGAGTGAGCGGCATTTGGAAGAGAGCCACGGATGCACTAGTGCACATCTTTGATTCTATTCACAGACTTCAAACAGGTAGCTGAGCTTCTTTTCCATCAGCTGAATCATCTGCCGAATTCGGCTTAACAAGGAGACAACCCTGCAACCCTGCCCTCTGTTTTAAGAACAACACAGTGCATTTAACTGATACAATCATTAACAATGTAAAGTGTCGCATCGTCTGGCCTTGCCCTTAAAAGGCTCTACTTGGAGATCTGGGTTCATTTAAGGTCTCACTGCACTATAAGGGCAAGGTGGGATGAAAAGTAGACGGCTTTTCTGTCTGGACGTACAAATGCTGATACAGAATACCGGTTCTTGCACTTAGTGCCTCAAGCAAGCTACAAGAACACACTGGCTGGCTTGCTTCTCTCTTTTCCTTCTGTGAGATAGCATAAAATCTGCGTCTCGCTGACTTTTTTTATGTCTAAAATAATCAAAGTATCTGCTTCAGTCTTTTTTTATTTGTGTTCTGTTTCTGTCTCCAGCTACCAGTTCCACAAAGCTGGAAGACCTAAGCTTTCTTGATGAACAGCGCAATACCCCCCTGCGGACATCCATTCGGCTGCCCTGGCACAATACTGGAGGAAGGCCACCTCAGGACTCTAAAGGTCAGTGCAGCATGGGTTATTGCTTTGGGGACAAATGAGTCACCCTGGGTGCTGTGTGAAAATGAATCTGCTAAAGTAGTGATTCAATGTTTTACTTTTCTGGCCTTATTCCCTAATAGAGTCTTTCTGCTTTGGATGATTTTAAATTTGTCTTAAAATTTACAATACCGTGCACATTAGCATCTGCTATTTATGATGCTATTAATGCAGACCATAATGGGAGAAGCCGCTGTTAGACACTTACATTAGAGAAGCCAACAGAATCTTGATTAGATACGATTCAGTCTTCTGATTGGTCTCACCAAGCTCTCCCACTAATGCAGAGTGGACCAGTGAGGTAATAATAACAGTGATATTAAAGCACAAGGATTTAAGAAGGTCACAGTTTAAACGGGGCTGCATTGAGTAAATTAACCACTCTATTATACCAATGTACATCTTAGTACTACATTATATCAAGGTTACTGGCTACCGACCAGTCCTTAATACAAAAAAGGTTGGGCAGAGCTGGTTTAGAATGTCTGAGAACCACTGTTCAATGTCAGGGCTGTCACTATTATTTTGACCATGTTTACAAGTTCAATGTAAGGGCTGTCACTATTATTTTGACCATGTCAGGATAGTTCTTCAGTAGTTAAGACGTAGTTTTGAAGTTCTTATCACGTTGAAGACAAAACTTTGTCTAAAACCCACTTTTGCAGCTCCTTGCATCAGATTTTCTTTTGAAAAATGTCTTCATATCTTCGTTTTAATATATTCTTCCATCCTAAAATGATTCTTTTGTTCCAGAACAAAAGAAGTTTGTACTCTTCAGTAGGTTGCATGTCTCTCCTTTCACTTCAATGCAGGGAATATCTTTATTTTCAAAGAGTGATGATAGATAGATAGATAGATAGATAGATAGATAGATAGATAGATAGATAGATAGATAGTTAGATAGATCATCGTTCTCCTCGATCATCGTTCTCCTCAGAGCTGGCTGGAACATGGCTTCAACACGTGAGGGCTCCCTCAGTTTGAGCCTCTCCAGCTCTTTCCTCACCTGGGTGGATTTGATGTGGAGTTCAGAGGTAGAGAGGTGATGATAAGTGGTAGTCGTCCATTATGTGTTTCTCCATGTAATCTTTAACACACATCTGGAGAATCAGATTTTGGTAATAGTTTCAATTAAATAAAATAAAAGAATTAGATTGTCTTTCTGCTTACAAATGGAACATTTTTTTTCATTCACTTTCATTATATGTTTTAAATCCTCTCTTCAGCTGCAAGAAATCTCAGAGTGAATATTTGATTAGAGCATGAATAATTTATGACAACATCATTAGATACTCAAAGTATTTAACCCTCTTTTGGAATCGGCAGCTTCCTCTCCCACATCTCTTTAAACAGCAGCATCAAGTTAATTTTACATGCCCGCCTGGATGGTTAATCATTGCTAATGAACAGTCCACGTCTGTTGAGTCTGAATTCATGTTCTCCGAGTATGCATGCAGTTTAATTTAACGCCTCCGTTACCGCAGTATATCATTGCAGATGACGGCTGTTTGCGGCTCACTGTTACAGAAAATAACAGCTACAGACTCTAAAGACAGAACAGTTACAGCACATTTATGCTGAGCTTCTGTTACAGCTCATCTGCTTTTTGGTCTTTTGATTGGCTATTCAACTTCTGTCAGTACGCAGGTAGAGTAGAGAACTACTTTTAATTTTTAAGGAAATATCAGCTTGTGTGTTATTCTGCCAATAGTTATTTATTTAACCGAGGACTCTACATCAAATACATATGCTAAATTTTTTAATAAGGTAAGTCGAGCTGAAAATAAACTATGTTTAAGCACTAAAGTGAAGTACTGTGATGAAAGGCCAGAGATTGAAAAGAGCTCCTGAGTGAGAAGAGTTCTGAGATTTAATTAGTGTTGAAGTGGTCTGGATGGAGAGGCCACTTCTGGTGTGAGTTTTTTAAGTACATTTATTCAGTCTAAGGGCAGAGAGTGAAAAAAAATAGTTTTAAGACAACAGAGTTCATGTGATCGCTGTACCTTCTTTGATTTACAATTTTTTGTTTTAGGATTGAGATAAAGGACGACAACTTTTTAGTATAAAACATAATGAATAAATATTTTTTAATATTATGTCAAGACCAACCTAATTAAGTCCTACTTTCTTTTTGTCCACAGCTCGTTTTGCTCCATACAAACCTGTGGACATCATGCTCAAGCCCCTGCTGTTTGAGGTGCCCAGCATCACCACAGACTCGGTGTTTGTGGGCAGGGACTGGCTCTTTCAGCAGCTGGAAGACGTCTTAAAGGCCAATGAATCTACAGAGAACCAGGGAGTGGTAGTGGTGGGCAGTGTGGGCTACGGGAAGACGGCCATTATCTCCCGACTAGTAGCTCTGAGCTGCCACGGAGGCCGGATGCGTCAGATCGCCTCCAACAGCCCCAGCGCCTCCCCCAGAAGTATGTAATCCTATTCAAAATAGTCATTGAAACTATATTAATTGTAGGTGTTTATAGCAGTTAAAGAAATAAATGCGGAAAATCTACCGTATTGTCCGAACTATAAGTCGCAAACCCAGCCAAAGGATGAAAAAAGTCTTTCCTACAACTTCGGTTGTATAACAAAAAAATAGACACTTGTTGATGATCTGCTTCCATGACATTAATCATTTATCCCGTCTGTATCAGCTGCAGGAGTACCATCAACGGAACTTCCTCTCACTCAGCCCCCACAGCCCACTCCACCATCCAGTGCTAACAACACACTGAGGACAAACAGTTGTCCTGGGACGCCTGAGATACAGCAGCGCAGAGAAGTGGCTGTCAAACGTCTGGCTGCAAAGGTAAAAGTGAAACCACAGACATTCACACTTGCATTCACACCTATGACCAACTCAGTAAAAATGTGATGAGTGCATCACTATTATACAGCCATTTGCATTACCGTCTACTCCACTGAGTGTCCACTGGTTGATGTATGGTTTGTGTTTTATCTACTTTGGTTCCTCCTTCCTATGATAACTCTTCCAGAGCTGCTGATGTCAGTCGGTGTGATGTGTCCTGAGGAAACCTGATTTGGTCTCTGCTCTGTAATTCATGTTTATATGGTTTAGTGCATGATTGATTTTTGTGGCCGTTCATTTGTTTTAGGTTTGTCACATTAAGAAAATGAATGGCCTTTGGCAGGGAGATGAGATTATGAAGGACAGCGCCACCATCGGTCTTTCAGTGGACTTTAATATCACAGGGTTGTTTTTTTACTTGGCCTTGAGATATGACTTGGATTTGAATATTCAAAGTAAAATACACTTCTGACTCGCGTGTCTCCAAACCAGGAGGATGAACACAAACCCTCACCACTAAGGTATAAACAAATACCTTCTCTGTATGTTTCTTTACAGTGGGGCAAAAGTCCTGGATTCAGGCGACTTTGATGGAAAATGATCAGCACTTTCAATGTTATGGTTACTGAAGAATGTCTCCTGATGTTCTTTTATCTTGTGATGACAGCTAATGTGTTGCAACAGCTTTGAAAGTTGCACGGCACATGATGGACCGAACATTACATTTTCAGCATACAGAGGACCACACATCGCAACCTTCATCTTTCTGTGCTGCAGGGTATCTGACAGTTAAAATAACCCGAGGATGCCTCTAAACTCTTGTGCATCATTTGGCATGCAAGCGTTGTCAATATATCTGTCGGATTTCCTCATAATTGTCAAATATACGAGATAAAGTGGTTTGAAGAGAGACTCGGTTGAGTTATGTGGACCGAGAATGTGTAATTTATTTGTTGTTTTGTTCAACAGCTATACAGCGTGACGCTGAAGCATCCATCTAAAAGTTTGCTGCTCTAAGATTCCTTTTCCTTTTTTCCTTTTTTAATCACTTCCCACTGCTGTTGTTGAAGATAATCTCACCGCCGGTTTTCTTGTTGTCCTTGGGACTTTTGAAATACTTTCCCCACCCAGCAGAAACTTTGTCATTGAAACTATATTAATTGTAGGTGTTTATAGCAGTTAAAGAAATAAATGCGGAAAATCTACCGTATTGTCCGAACTATAAGTCGCAAACCCAGCCAAAGGATGAAAAAAGTCTTTCCTACAACTTCGGTTGTATAACAAAAAAATAGACACTTGTTGATGATCTGCTTCCATGACATTAATCATTTATCCCGTCTGTATCAGCTGCAGGAGTACCATCAACGGAACTTCCTCTCACTCAGCCCCCACAGCCCACTCCACCATCCAGTGCTAACAACACACTGAGGACAAACAGTTGTCCTGGGACGCCTGAGATACAGCAGCGCAGAGAAGTGGCTGTCAAACGTCTGGCTGCAAAGGTAAAAGTGAAACCACAGACATTCACACTTGCATTCACACCTATGACCAACTCAGTAAAAATGTGATGAGTGCATCTATGATCAACTCAGTAAAAATGTGATGAGTGCATCACTATTATACAGCCATTTGCATTACCGTCTACTCCACTGAGTGTCCACTGGTTGATGTATGGTTTGTGTTTTATCTACTTTGGTTCCTCCTTCCTATGATAACTCTTCCAGAGCTGCTGATGTCAGTCGGTGTGATGTGTCCTGAGGAAACCTGATTTGGTCTCTGCTCTGTAATTCATGTTTATATGGTTTAGTGCATGATTGATTTTTGTGGCCGTTCATTTGTTTTAGGTTTGTCACATTAAGAAAATGAATGGCCTTTGGCAGGGAGATGAGATTATGAAGGACAGCGCCACCATCGGTCTTTCAGTGGACTTTAATATCACAGGGTTGTTTTTTTACTTGGCCTTGAGATATGACTTGGATTTGAATATTCAAAGTAAAATACACTTCTGACTCGCGTGTCTCCAAACCAGGAGGATGAACACAAACCCTCACCACTAAGGTATAAACAAATACCTTCTCTGTATGTTTCTTTACAGTGGGGCAAAAGTCCTGGATTCAGGCGACTTTGATGGAAAATGATCAGCACTTTCAATGTTATGGTTACTGAAGAATGTCTCCTGATGTTCTTTTATCTTGTGATGACAGCTAATGTGTTGCAACAGCTTTGAAAGTTGCACGGCACATGATGGACCGAACATTACATTTTCAGCATACAGAGGACCACACATCGCAACCTTCATCTTTCTGTGCTGCAGGGTATCTGACAGTTAAAATAACCCGAGGATGCCTCTAAACTCTTGTGCATCATTTGGCATGCAAGCGTTGTCAATATATCTGTCGGATTTCCTCATAATTGTCAAATATACGAGATAAAGTGGTTTGAAGAGAGACTCGGTTGAGTTATGTGGACCGAGAATGTGTAATTTATTTGTTGTTTTGTTCAACAGCTATACAGCGTGACGCTGAAGCATCCATCTAAAAGTTTGCTGCTCTAAGATTCCTTTTCCTTTTTTCCTTTTTTAATCACTTCCCACTGCTGTTGTTGAAGATAATCTCACCGCCGGTTTTCTTGTTGTCCTTGGGACTTTTGAAATACTTTCCCCACCCAGCAGAAACTTTGTTAGTTTTCTTCCACTTCTATTTAAACTGGTTGCATTTGTTGGTCCTTTTGGGATTGTGCAAGGTCTTTATGTTGAATACCCTTTACACTCCCACACTCCCAGCCAAGGTTGTTAGACAAGAACTATAGTAGGTGGAATAGAATCTAAGACTGCTGCGGACCACTGTATCAACAACAACAAAAAAAACTGCTCCCTTAGTCTACCTTTTTGTCTTTAAATTCAAATCCATGGATGTTTTTTTCTATTGTAGGAACAAAGCGTACTGAGCCTTTAAATGCAACACTCCTTATTGAACTGCTCCATCTTCATTTTAACTTGATTGATTCTGTGCAGCGATCCATCTTGCACTATCTGGAATTGACACTATTTGAATGTCCCCTCTGTGGTGAAATGGTGCATGAGGCAACGATTGTCCACCGTCCATGTGTCACTCGATTTAAGCCCCAGCCAGGGCTGGGGAGCCGACTGTCTGTTACTGAGGCTCATTTGAACAACCCAGGCAGCCAATCATTGTCTAAAGTGTTTCCAACAGCCTCTCTGCTCCTCTGATGTTGGTGCACTGATGCAACACCGAGCAGCCTCTGTTAAATTTTGTCTTCTCTTTTTTTAATCACTGATTGCTCCCGGCGGAGTGCTAAGGCTTTCTCTCTCATGTTTTTCAGGACTCGGTGCTTCATCGTTTTAACACCTTTCCTTGGACTCATAGTCTCAACAGTAAATATTCTTTTAGCCAGTGTCACGCATAATTTTGTTTAAAAGACTCAGTCTACGACTGTCTTATGAGACAGAAACTAAACAACAGCTAAATGGGAAGTTATGTGAGGCTAAATGATGATGAGGGCATTTATACACTAGATCATTGTTTCCCAAAGACTGGGTTGCGACCCTCAAGAGTTGGGGGGGGTTCATACAAGACACCAGCGTCTTGTATGAACACCACCCTCAATCCGCTCTGACCAACTTCATACTTAAAATATTCTCTCTGTTATTTCAGCAAAGTTGTAGCTCAGTCAAAAATTAAAGTCGGTTTCAGCCACATCTGAGCCAGAAAACCATCAAGTTTGGTGGCCCATTTGATGGACATGATTTCTCCTATCACAGCAACCCACACTGGTGTAAACCCCTAACCCTAATCGCACAAACAGATTTTAGTCCAAGAAATGGAACAACATCTCACAATGTCTCAGCGGAGGTGCTTATGGGAGATTTATACGGCCATGTGTTTTATATTTCCTCATTTACCATTGAAAGAAATATGGACACTCCACTGTGGTGAAATGCAGAAGAAAATTTGGCTGCATCATTTTAGCATTAGTGTAGACGTAGTATGGAGGCAGAGCCAGGGCAGGGACCGCCAGGACTGCTCCTCCAGATCTCCATGACAGAGTGTCAACTAGTGGTTTTATATTTGGACAACAGCTTTGAAAAAAATAATTTCATGTTTAAAAGCGGTTTATAATTGATTATATTGAGATTTATTATGTTTTTGACGAATAAAATAAAAATGGACTGAAACTAGGAGATAAAGCAGCAGTTGCTGAGAAAACAAAAATGAGACAAATATCTGCCATTCAGTTTGTACGGTTTGAGCTGATCCCTATTTCTTTGGTTTTTTTAACATTAATGAGCTAATTAGTAGTCAATAATTCCAAAAATATTTATTTTGGTAATTAATATATTATGTCATGCGATAAATAATTACAATAGGAAACAAATGGAGAACATTTTGATATGATGACATGACAACATGACAACAAAAACTAAATAAACAAGGGTAGATTGACATTACAGAGACTAAAACCAACACACTATAATTATTTTATTAAAAATGTTGTTGCTGGTCATCAATATTTCATGAATGAATGGATTATTTTGTCAAAGATTTTGTTATTTCTTGTATCCTTACAAACCACCATTCCGATATAATTTCCAATTAAAAGTAAAATCTCTTTTGGTGATTTGAACAAAAAAATATTAGGAATCAAGAATATCAGAAAAAACATTTATAAATGAAAAACAAAAACTAAAATAGAAATTGCTTTTTTTTATTGACTACAAAAAAGAAGACAAAATAGTAAATATCAGTTTGCAAATATATATTGGCTAAAAAAGATAAAAACAGGGAAAGAAACTACAAATGGGAAAGTGGTGGCTTGGTGGTTAAGGGAGCAGACTTGGGTAACTAAGCATTAAGCATGGCACCATGATGGGTAAAACACAGAGTTAACATTTTCTTGTGTGTGCTGCTAAAAAAAGTAACTCACTTTCACTTCACTATCAAAAGAAGACGTAACAATCAACAGTTAACAATACTGTGAAGATATCAGGGGAGGTGAACTATTCTGGAGTTCTTTGCAGTGTAGTATCGATGCTTAAATTAGCCAATTAGCACCTGACTCAATACTTGATTCAGAAGCACAAACCTTTAAACACACAAATTGTTCCCAGCTCTGAATATAGTATAATTAATTACCAAAGTCAGAGCAAAAACGCAGTGCTCATTTATCACATCAGCATTTTTAATTTGCTTGAGTCTGTTAATTCACACCTCCTCTCTTCCCTTTCCTCTTTCTTTCTTCCTTGTGTTCCAGGTGGTGGCGTATCACTATTGCCAGGCAGATAACACATACACTTGCTTGGTACCGGAGTTTGTACACAGCATTTCGGCCCTGCTGTGCAGAGCACACCAGCTGAGTGCTTACAGAGAGCTGCTGCTCAAAGAGCCCCACCTGCAGAGCATGCTTAGTCTGCGCTCCTGTGTCCAGGACCCTATGGCTGCTTTCAGGAGGGGCGTCCTGGAACCACTTTCCAACCTTCGAAAAGGTACAAATAAACCTTTTTATTAATCATATTTCAATTGCTAGCCAGATAGCTAATCAGTGCTAGCCTGTTGAAGTGTAATAAATCATGTACACAGATAGCTAATCAGTGCTACCCTGTTGAAGTGTAATAAATCATGTACATACAGTACCTTGTGTTGGATGTTTACAGAGCGCAGGATTCCAGAGGAGGACCTCATCATCTTAGTGGACGGGCTGAATGAGGCAGAGTTTCATAAACCTGACTACGGAGATACCATCGCCTCCTTCATCACAAAGATCATCACCAAGTTCCCTTCCTGGCTCAAACTTGTGGTCACTGTCCGGCTAAACCTAGTGGTAAGAACAAAATAATAACCCTCTGTTAAGGCCCTAAAATATGTAGTGTACAGTAAACCTAGATGGCAGTAGGTTTTCTGCCCGTTGTAATTATGAAAAATCAGGACATTTTGGTCCCTATATTACACTTATATAAAAAGACAGAGATAGTATTTTGTGTGAACATCTTTGTCTCTACAGGTGATATCTGTAAATGTAAATGTGCCGGGAAATCACAGCTATTAAAGGTTCCCCTAAACTGAGTTCAGTCCGACAAGGATTTCAGTAAATCGTGGCTTCATTTCAGGAAAGAACCTGTCAGTGCTGTTAACAAGGCTAGCTTGATGACAGCAGGTCAGTGAATTATAGTGATGTGTGAGCCCCGGTTTAGCCTCATCCAGACAGAGGCTGAGGCTTTGGCATGCTTGGTTAGATAAATGAGGGCTGTTTTTCTCTTCTTACTGGGCTGAAGCTCTGAACCTGGAAAAATAATGTGTGCTGTGAGTGACTGAGGGACAACAGCGCTGCCTATCAGGGCTCAGGCAGTGGCCACGCTGACTCTAATGAGCTCCCTGCGTGCTGGCAGGAGTTTGTCGAGTGTGTTTCAGATGCACTTGAATGCATTTTTCAACAAATGTATAAGAGCTTTGCAGTTATTATAATATCTTTATAACAATCCATCCTGCAGATCGTTGTTGGATTTGGAAGATAACTAGACACGGAGCAATTTGTCGTCAATGTCTTTGTGAAAGGAGTACAGGTGATCTCTGACTGACACCATGATGCATTGCGCTGCAGTGTTAAATTATTTTTCTTTTACACTACCTGTTCAGAATTCTCAGGAACATGATATCCGACAAAAGCCTCGAGGAAAATTCTTCACATCTGGCAAAACCCTTTTTGTGAACTCAAGCAGGAGCTGATAAGATCGTAACATGTCGGAAGTCGATGCCATCCAGATCTGATTACTTTTTTTTTTTGGCTAGAACTCAAAATACAGCAACTTTAAAATGTTCTGAGTCTTCCATGTTAATACCAGGAGACAGTCTTACTACAGAGTATTACTGTAGGTCTTATATGCACAGGATGATATGTACATATTTTTTCAAAGACAAGGTTTCTGCTATATATTGCCACCACTTTCATACTCACAATAATGGTCTGAATGTTACAGTTAAACGGACTTCAGCAAAGGAGGCAGTCTGTTTTTAGATTAATGAGTGTGATAACCTGCTGCTGCTTAAAACAGTTCCAAGCATTGATACTGAAAATAATGCTGCACAATGAATATAACCGCATATTGCAATCCCGCTGTGACGCTTTGCAATTATATAAACGCATAAAAAAAACCCTGAGATTTAGTGGAGCCACATCCACACGCTGTGGGCACCCGCAGTATAGTCACGTGACTACCTGGCTTTTACTATAGACGGCAGTGACCAACATGGACGCGAAAGACAACGCGGAACAACAACAACACGTGCTGTGTAAAACGGACATAGGTAAAGTCGCTACGTCCCGAAGTCGCAAAATGCTCCGCACGCTATTCTCGCGGAACTTTTTCTTTGCTACCCCGTAGCTCTACAACAAACGCCGTAGCGACTTTTAGGTTGAAATGGCCACGGTCAAGTTTAATTCAACCACGACAGACTCGTGGTAAAGCAGGAACGTGGAACCTTACTTAGGCCTGACTGTCCACTTTATCGACAATGACTCTGAGCTTAAAAGCCGCTGCTTGTTTACCACCGTATTTGCCCCAGGACCACACGGGACAACACATCGAATTGGGCCTAAAGAGGGCTATCGCAGCCTGGGGCCTAGCAACGCCATAATGGCTGTGCAGCTTAATACCTTTTTCTTACAACATCAAAATCAGTGGTTACATTTCAAATGGGCTATAATTTGTAGCCCTCTACAACTTTCTCTAAAAATACAGGATGGCTTGACAGAAAAGCAATATAAATGTAACCACTATATATTCTTTTTTAAATTATAAAGTTGTTCTTACATATTCTCCTTCTAAAAGGGTACAGTTACCACCACTTTAATACTCCTTTTTATTTTTGAGCATTCCCAATGTCTTATGAGTGTAGTTTTAAACAAAGGTCTCCACAGAAATGCCTTACGGTTATGAAAAGTAACAGAATTTGCACTTTGAACGAATGCCTCTGTTTTATTTTTCATTTTTCTATCAAGGGTTACTTGGAAGGTTTACCCAAATACCAACAGAAAAACAAGTTTACAATTGTGCTACTTTAGAAAAATATATTATATTATTATAAATATATTAATATATTCTTTGAATTATCTCTATTTCCAAACTTAATTATTTTTTGATTTGAGAAATACACAAATTATTGTATTTTTATTATTTATTGTAAAATATTGTTATTCTCTGTGTCGTCCTTGATATTCAAGCAAGTAGACTCATGATGTCATTCATTTATATCATAATCGCAGTATTGTCCACAGTAATCACAATTGCACATTTTCATCAAATCATGCAGCACAAACTGAAAGAGAGAAGATTATGGCTTCATTCTCTGTCATTTCACTTGGAAGTTCCACAACCACCAAGCAATATTTGTAATAAACCTAAACATTATCAGTGAGTTTCTGCTAGAACTACCTTTTTCAGATAGTTATTCGTACCATTCTTATTCTGCTGAGTGTGCATTTGTGTATGTGCTTGTTTGCTGCACTTTCTCATGGCGAGGAAGTGAGAGGTGTAATCTCAGTGAGGTGATGTTTTTTCAGCCTTTAGACAGATAGACAGTGGATTGGAGGATTAAAGTGCATTGATTTCTCCAGCATCCAGGTTATAGATTGAAATGTGAGCTCTGGCTCAGACCTCTTCTTACCTGCCGGCCACTGGCCCATCCATCAGCTTCCTGTCACTACTCACTTTTCCCCAATCTGGCTTTCTTTACAGCAATTTTTCAAACAGTAACACAAATCTGATTTACCCTGATAGTGAAGTGTGAAGGTAAAAAAAAATGCTTTTGGAAATGTAGTAGAAATGAGGTGCATAAGCTATAAATGTAAAACCAACTCACGCATGATTTTAACCTTGTGTCTCTTCCATAGGAGATCACCAGCCTTCTGCCTTTCTCCAAAATCTCTCTGGACGACTTTTCCGACAATAAGGAGATAAGCAGCGACCTCAATGCATACATCCAGTACCGTGTCAACAGCAGCAAGGATATCATGAACAATATAAGCCTGAACGGAAAGGCCGACTCCATCACTGTCGGAAAGCTCAGTAGCCACCTGATCTCCCGCAGCCAGGGATCTTACCTGTATCTCAAACTCACCTTGGACCTGTTCGAGCGAGGCCACCTAGTGATCAAAAGTGCCAGCTACAAAGTGGTGCCAGTCTCAGTGTCCGAGCTCTACCAGTTACAGTGCAATATGAAGTTCATGACCAACTCGGCCTTTGAGCGTTCACTGCCCATTCTCAACGTAGCTTTGGCCTCGTTGCACCCCATGACTGACGAACAGCTGTTCCAGGCCATCAACGCCACCTACATCCAGGGGGAGCTGCCGTGGGAGGACTTTCAGCAGCGCATGGAGGTTCTGTCCTGTTTTCTGATCAAACGCAGAGACAAGACACGTATGTTCTGCCACCCTTCGTTCAGAGAGTGGCTGGTGTGGAGAGCCGATGGTGAGAGCACGGACTTCCTCTGTGACCCCAGGTCAGTTCTGTGCTATGTAATTGATAACAGTTGAAAATAACTGATTCTGCAGGATTACATATTTTAATAATAATAATATTTCAAGACATCAAGATGGTCTGGGAGCTGTGTCTCAAGACATCAAGATGGTCTGGGAGCTGCACACATTGACGATGCTAATACAACAAAAATGTTTTTGTAACTGTTTTTTTAACATGAATTACAAATTAGAAAACTTGACAACAACATGCAAAAACATTTCATGTTTAGAATTTTAATTGTGATTCAAATTCTGCTTTGCTGTCTACAAGGTCTGTTTCCATTTATAAATATTTACATCCGTTAGGTTCCAGTTACTTGCAGTAGCAATGGAAAAAAGAGAAATTAGAGACAGAGGGCAGAGTAAACACACATAAAAGACCTGGTGAAGAGAGTAAATCAAATGTTCTCATAAATAAATGCAGCGTGGCTCGACCTGCATTTTGGAGAAAGGTGCATTCCTTGGTGGCTAGTCAGTGAGTTTCTTCAGTCGGATACCTGGGTTAAAAAAAAACAAAGTTAAAAGAGCATTCCCTGCTGTATTTCCATGGGTTTGTGTTTACCTTTTCCAAGAAGCCTGACTAAGCTGCCTGCACAGCACTGGGAGCTGTGTCTCTAAAACCTCTGAAGTATCAGCCCAAACAATTTACATAATAAATCCTATTACGTAGATTTACTTTGCATTCCACTTACATGACAATTTGCTGAGGAATCTTCAATCTCTTTTAAATCACTCGTGCCCTCCCTGCTGGTGTTGTCAGCCTTATCTGCTTCACTACTGCTCCCTCATTGCAATTACAGCGTTCCCTCAACCACATCTGACGCTATACAGTCATTCACCCACATCCTCCCTGTTCCTCATCAGTAACACCTCTGCTCACACAGGGCTGTCTGCGAATGGATCGTAGATGAGCTTCATATTCTGCTCATTCACACTCTTCCAAGTCTGTCATTAAAAAACAAAGGCTGCAGACTTCAGCAGAGTGAATGAACATGCACACAAAAGCTGGCTGCACTGACTCCCCCGTTCATCTGGGCGTCTGAGGACAGAGAGAGTTTTTAACTGCAGATCAAAGTGATCTGCAATCATGCATGTCTTTTTAGTCGAATCACACATTAATTAGTGCAGGACTGTCAGAGAAAGAAAGAAGGAACAGGAAGAAGAGACAATTTCTTGTTCTCCTCCTTGTTTTTCATTCTGCTGTAGCAGCATGCTCTCAATGACCTGAATGAAGAGATTGATGCTGTGCTAGTTACAGATGATAAAAACATAGCAGCCATGGTCAGTTATTTATCAGGCAAAAAAAAAAAGATGTTATTGCACAATGTTAGGGTATTAGAAATTGCTATCTTTGTTCATATTGATCCGTTTTAAACCTTGCTTCTACAATTTAATTCTCCTGCTGCCTGTGCACTGTTGTCATTGAAGATTATATCTGCTTCGGTACAAAGGATAGAAAGAGTGGAGAGAATACAGTGAACAGCAATAACCACAGCCTTGAGAAACATGTTGTGTATTCAACCCTTCTTTGTGGCTTCACAATGGTGAAGATACAATATGTGCACATATATATGTTCTTACAATACAAATAGGAGGTCAAATTCAAAAGACAAAAATATAAGTACAGCATTGATTGTTGCAACATTTTTGAAAAAAAAAGAAGATAACTGGAGTTAGTCAAGATACCATTTTAGGTTTGCCAAATTGATAAAAGAAAGTTTTAAAATGAGTGAAAAGAATTGTAAAAAAACACAGTAATGGTGAGTGGAAATGATTACCGAAAGAGTGCATAAACTATTTTAAGTAAGTCAAAAACACAAAAAAGATTCAGGAAAAAAGTGAAGATGTTTTTCTGCCCTGTTTCTTTCCCAACAACTTAATGTTTTTGCCACTACTATATTTAAAACTTTATTACCGTGAGCGAACAGTAACGCACTTTGAGCCACCAGGGACACTAAGTACATGTGTATGCTTAGGACCATTGACAATAAAACATTTAATATACATTTTCTGATCCTGTGTTACTGTCATACTGGTTATTCTGCCCTGCGGCTGATTGTATTCTGTTTTCCTCATTCAGGACCGGCCACGCTCTGATGGCTTTCATGTTGTCACGGCAAGAGGGGAAACTGAATCGTCAGCAGACCATGGAGCTGGGACATCACATCCTCAAAGCTCACATCTTCAAGGTGCGGTTGCTGTTCAAGGTTGATTTGTGGTTGAAATTTGTCTCTTTTACGGTGTTCACCCTGTTAATCTGCCACGTATAAATCCTGGGACAGAGAGAGAAACACAGGCAGCTCGTGAGCACAGGTTTGACTGATGTTCTGCTTATGTTCCTCTGTACATACTGTGTGTGTGTTTGTGTGTGTATCTGCACAGGGCCAGAGTAAGAAAACAGGAGTGTCATCCAGTGTTCTGCAGGCTTTGTGGATTAGCTGCAGCGCCGATGGACTTTCTGCAGCGCTGGCCTCCCTGAGGAACCTCTACACACCGAACGTCAAGGTGAAGACCCTTCGACTTTGTTTCAGCCTCGAGATCTTTTTACAGTCGTTTAAATTTGTTTACTTAAACTGTGCTTAAACTCACTGTGACACTCTTACGTTCCACACAGAAGTCATTTCACATTCAGATCTCAACTTTTACCAACCGCATCTTATCTTTTTTGCACTTAGCTGGATCTGTGGGTTTCTTTTTTCCTGAAAATGCTGCAAACATTTTTGTATGTGTTCTGTTTTATTACTTGCAGCATAAAATGCCATTTCATGTTCTTAACTTTAAATGTTAACTTTAGCTTATCAACTTGGTTTATTTGATTCAAATCCTTAAACAATCCTGTCAAACGATCATAATTCCAGCTGTGGATTATTAACGACTAATCAACGTCCATTTAACAGTTGTGTCAGTCAGCTTGAGACACTGTCTGTCATCTAGTTGAACACCATAAAATACAGCAACGGTCTGTTAGAACCATCATTTCTCCAAAGAGAAATTACAGAACAATATCCATTTAATAGTCATGTTTCTCTGCCATTATACTCATTTCAAGTAGTTTCATTTTCCACCCAGTGATGAATTACTTTTGCAACAGATATTTTCCAGACTTCCACAGTTTCTTAAGGGCAACATGAAACTGTAACAAAGATTGAAAGAAATCATTACCGTTTGACAAATGGACGCCCTGGACGGGAGAATAAGAAACATTTCAGACCTGTGATGTCGGTACAAGATGAATGAAGGAGGAAATGAGTTTGATTTTACAAAATATGTGGCTAATGTAAAAAAAATAATTATTGTACATGTGTAAATGTCTCTGTGCTAATGTTAGCAGTAGATTTTTTGCTTTATGTATTTGAGGTTATACATGAGACTTTCTAGGGTAAAAAAAAAAACCCATCTGTTTTTGAGGCCACATTATTCTTTTTCATCAGTGCTGCTGATGAGCTCCATCACTCAGTGTCATCTTCACTGTCCACTCCTGACTGTGTTACTGTCTTAATATGATCCAACATGGAGGCTCTCGTAGACTGACCTTCCTCTGTCCTTGGAGGGGGATAAAAAAACCCCACCACTGTTAATTTATTCCTAAGACGATCAAACAAGAAACACACAGAGTTTCAAATTTGAGATTTCTCATTTGGATGGCTGATTGTGTTTGACTGAGCATTCATTATTGATTTCCTTATCGAGGATGAGAATAACACACTTAATAATTCCTGCCGCTGGATTGTGACCACTTCATTTGGTGTCTGACCTTTTTCCCCTGGAGGAAATCAGAAAGCTGCAGCTGCAGAGAAAAGCTCAGGGAGAAATCAGATTAATCTCAGATTTCCAGATCTTGTTCTGCTGCTGTAATTAGTTGTAAGTGATGCTATCTGAAATCCTTTAGCACCATGAATTGATATTAGATTAGGTTTTTCTAATGTTTTTAAACTACAAATACTACTAGGGTTTGTTATATGATATATATATATGTATGATTATATGATTGATTAAATTCATTATTTTTTCCATTATTTGGATTACTTTACCATTACAAACATGTGTGAATCACACACTTCTACCTGTTGTAGCAATAATTTATTTAGGACAGTTGATTTATCTCAATTAATCATGACTAAATGTAATTAATGCGCAACTACCCTGTGATTAATCAGATCAAAAACCTTAATTGGCTGTCAGCCCTAGTGTAAATACAGTGAAATATTGTAGTTTTTTTATTTTTTATTTAGCCACAAACCCTGCTTCTGTTGCTTTTAACATGTTTTCTAAATGAAACCGTTGGAAGCCAGAGCACAGATGGTACAACATTACAATAATAACACAAGCTGTCTGTGTCTGTGCCTCTTATTTGAACAATCAGGTGAGCCGTCTGCTGATGCTGGGCGGGGCTAATGTGAATTACCGCACGGAGGTCCTGAACAACGCCCCGGTGCTCTGTGTCCAGTGTCACCTCGGTCACCAGGAAATTGCTTCTCTGCTGCTGGAATTTGGGGCCAGCGTTGACGTGGTGTCTGAAAATGGAATGAGTCCGCTCTGCTTCTCTGCTGCAGCGGGACACCTGGGTCTGGTCATGATTCTGTGCAAGAAGGGGGCAAAGGTGAGGACCTGGTTAATCCATTTCTGTACATGAGGTTAGAGACAGAATCATTTTTTAATACACATTTATTTTAGATGGATTAATTTAAGAAAAAAAAAATATTATTTAGTTTCAAGTTTCCTTCACTCTAAAATATTTACCACCCCCGTGTACTTCAATATCCCCACAGGATATTGACACGACCTGTGTATTTCACTGTAGGAACTTTCATTCTCTGGCCACTTTTCTGTGGTAAAACTATTCTAGTTTTATATGTGTTATAGTTTTATATCCATCCTAGAAAATTACAGTATATACTTCCAGTTTGTGTTTTTGCTCCCAAGTTAGATTTTTTTCTCCTGTATCCAGACTGACAATTTTTTGTCTTCTTTTTTTAAAAATTGTATTGAATTGTAACATTATCTTTTATTATTTCTCTTTTTGTCTTCTACCTCTTACTGTTTGATTGTCTTGGTAATTTTTCTTTCTCAATTTTCTTCTTCTGATCTGTCTTAGTAAAGATGAAGAATTCATGCCTGATGTCTAAACCTCAGTCCCTAAATTTAACCTAAACCCGAAATGGAAATATTTTTTTTAGGCAGTAGAATTTTTTTAGGATAAAGTAATAATTTTGCTTTACTTTGGATAATGGCCACACAGTGACAGTGTGAGAGCTGACAGCAAGAAGGTCACCAGTTCCCTCATCGTCACCTGGAGTTTGCATGAGATTAACCTGTAGAAGATACATAAATGTGTAACAATATAACCAGCAGATAAACCCACATTGATGCTACTATTGAACCAAGGCTCATGCCTCACACTGACAACTGCTGGCTCGTGCTGTAGCTTTTTAAATATACATTACATATACCACAGTGTTGGCAATACTTTCTATATTCCTGTGTCCACCAGGTTGATCATGTGGATAAGAGTGGACAGTGTGCTCTGGTCCACGCCGCTCTTCGAGGACACCCAGAAATTATTCAGTACCTGCTGGAGCTGGAGTGGAGCTCTGAGGGCCAGCAGCAGGATTGTGCTCTGAAGAACAAAGCTCTGCAGCAGGCTTTGATAGCGGCATCCAGCATGGGACACACACAGGTGGGAGTCATGCATACATACACAAATAATTCATCAACCCACAGTCTTCACGCAAAAAAGAAGTACAATGTAATATAATGTATTGTTTTTCCTGAAGGTTGAGACTTTAAATGGAATGAAACCTCAACTTGCAGCAAACAAACATGAACTCCTACTCAATACCTTGGTGCTTAAAATCTAGATTGTTCTACGGCATCGCTCAAAAGCAGCATACAAGATTTACAGAAAACATTTATTTCTAGTGCAGAGATTATTAACTGGCAGCTCGTGGGCTGAAGATGATGATGGCGCTTTAGTTTCTTTTCCTCAAAATCTTAAATTAACAAAGTTTAACTTCATACATATGTAGGAGAAGATCAGATTGATCAGAATACAGTCCAGGGAGAGAAAGCTGATCCAATTCCACCTTAACGGGCGCTACTCTAATACACAATTCCAATGCACGAACCTGCAACCAATTTACCTGCTAACAGATGAACCTCGCAGAATACTTAGTATTTATTTAATATGTTGATTCTACTGATTTGGTTCACTTGAGTGTTTCTTTTTTTATTTTTTTCCTCATGTGCTTTATATCATTTATCCAATCATTCTCTTGCTGCCCCCATATGTATCTTGTGAAAAAAAAGAGTATGGCTAAATATGGCTTGACTTTTCTGTTGATGATATGGAGATTCATACATCTGCTCTGTGCACACACCAACGGGTGACAGAGATGACATTTGGGTATTTTCTCAATCATGTTTCCTTTCCATGAAATACGGTAAATTCAACACAGCTGACATCACTCCATGTCACCATGACCTGCTGTCGTGATCCAACCATCATCATCATCATCATCATCATCATCATCATTTTCCAATTTGTGCATCATTTATAAAGCTCCATTTAGGATTCTCAGTCTGAGAGTCTGCTCCACTGATCGACTCTTTTCTCCGTCTGTCAGGTGGTGAACAGCCTACTGGCCCTGAGTGATGACCACGCCGTGCAAATTGATAGCCACGACACACTGTGGGGAGAGACAGGTATGTTTTAATCCATCTCCTTTTTGTCATTATGTGGCACTCTTGTATTATCACCTGCCGGTTTAGCATTCTGGGCCACACAGCTATAATTGCACACTGCAGTGAGAAGGACTTGAATCACGCGTCTGCACACATCGGCGCCCGCTACTTCCAGCTCGTCTAAGTTCTCCTGTGCTGTACTTTCTGCTAAAAGCATTACTTATTGTGGTCATGTGGGTTTCTAATTAGAGTTTGGTCAACACAGCAGTTCCATAGAGAAAAAAAAATCATTTTCCAGCTTGCTGGATTTTTTGCTTCACTATCCCCTCGGTGCTTTATGTTAAGATGCTGCCAAGAGTTTTGGACATTTTGATGTTGCTCCACCATCTGCTGTAAGCATTTCTGTTCTCACTCAGGTATGTCGGCGCTGCTGCTGCTGCTGCTGCTGCGGCAGGTCATCTGGTGTGTCTAAATCTGAAGACTTTCTTCTGACTTTAATGTTAATGTTCCGAGACCGATTCACAGAGTTCTGGGAAGATCTCCTTTTTTTAACACAGTAACACTGTGCAGCATTTGCACCTTGAAATAGCAGAGTCAAAATCGTTGTGGTGACTGACTGACTTTGATTATTGAAGATAGTTTTTGTTCTGTTGCATCTGTCTGTACTCTTACTTTGGTGTCTGGTTTGGAACAAACAAATCTTGACTTTTATTGTCAGTTATGTCCTGGTAAAAGACATAATTATTCCGAAAATCTGAATTGATGTCAGTTAAAAGGACAAAAAATGACTTTAAAAAAAATCTGCTTAAATTTTGGTGTTTGTCACAGCATTTGGAGTCAGGGAAAGGCAGCAACAAAATGGCATCTACCAATCAGGACTTAGATTCTGTGGCCATTGTGTCGGCTATTATTGGACAAAAAAAGCCTTTTGTGTTTGATTGAGGTAATGGTGCAAAAAGCTGTGTGAAACGGCACGAAACACAGTAAAGATTGAAGGCAGGAAGCACCCGCAGTGCTAGTGTTGGCAATGGCGATGGTGGTGGCGATGGCGGCGGCGATTGTGGCGGCAGCGGTGGTGGCGGTGGTCAGGTTTAACACTAGTGGATGACAGCTGAACAAAAACACAGAGAGAAGAGTATTGACAGATTTTCTGCACTGCAGTTGTCACCGCTTCATCGTTATCACACAATTAAATAGAAATTATTTTTAATGCTCTGGTTGAAACTGGTTATTATGTCACAGGTATAGTTGTGTATTTTTAATTAGAAATAATACACAAATTAGGGCTGTCAAAAACAACAGGTTAATTGTGTTAATTTATTAAGTAGAATTAATCTAATTAGAATTTTGAACGCATCAGGAGGCATGGTTTGAATGACTCTCTTCGTATATCCAATAATTCCACTAATTACTAGAGTGTTTATTTATCTAAATTAATTATTGTCCAATAATCAACCACTGCAGATTAATTAATCCACTCATCACCCTAACGAACATTCTTGTGTCTGTTTCACCGACAGCAGTGACTTTTCACTTTTGCTCCTGGTTTTGAGTGCAGAGTATTTCAAAGGACATATTTAAAACATTTATCTTCAGTGTGAACTTTTATGTTGAGTTGACTGATCCAAAGCTTTGAGTCTTAGAAATACAGCTCTTCTTTTTTTTTCTTCTGCTCAGTTGTACTAGGGCTCTTCTTTTCTTTTTTTTCTTCTGCTCAGTTGTACTAGAAAAGATTTAAAAAAAAAAAAAAGAACAGAGAATTTTAATTATAGTCTCCTTGCGTCTGTCTGTCTTCTACACCAGCAGCTTTTACCAGTCAGTAAAGTTTGGTTCTGTAGGAATGTAGGTCAGCTTGTTAGTGGAGACGCTGTCCAAACTGTGGTTAACTGGTGTCCTGCTAAGAGATTACAGTTCCTAACACAAAGACTCGTCTCTCGGAGATCATTCTCTGTGGATCTGCACTTCTCTTTCTGAAATATATTTTTTCTGCTGCAGTTGAAATATCAGCAGATTCCACTTCGACGAAACTTGAGTTGAAATAAAGTTCTGTCGAGGAGGAAGTAAAATGAAGCCGAGCTTCAAAGCTGAAGAAACACAGACGAGACAGTGCACTGGAATAAATGAAAGTCATCAGCAATGAGTTTAAAGTGAATGTTAAATCAGAGCCATCAATGCATAAACATGAAAGCCCCACCCTGACAAAGGTTACATACTGTAATATACTCTTTGACTACTCCATTACTACCTATTATATATGTAAGATATATATATATATACATATATATATACTACTTATTTTATATATATATATTACATGAGAAATTTGTGATAATGAAATAATGCACAGTGATTTTTAAAAAAGGCCAATAACCTACAGAGCAGCATGATTTTCATACTAAAATGATAATGTCCGTGTCCTCTGCAGTAATAGAAGACACAATAAGTTAGGGTTAAACACCTTTATATAGAATTAATTGATTATCTGCTGGAAGGCTCTCGCATATCTGCTTACTTAAACACAGGTGGTGATTTTATTTTTTATTTTTTTGGCCGACCAGAGCAGAGTGTTAAAGCAGCAGGACAGAACAAAGTGCTGACCTGAAACAAAGTGACTCCCTACACCTTTGACTCCACTGCACAGTGGGGTAATTTATTTAACGCATCGTTCCAGTTCATTTCCATGTATGAGAAGTGAGTATGTAAATACATTCATGACCTACATGTAGTTTTAGCCCTCAGGGTCAAAATGATCCATCGTTAAAAATAAAATTTGCTGGTTGTTAAGCCACGGGTCCAATGTTTTAGAGAGAAAGAACAGAAATGATGAGGATTTAAGAAACCCTGTTTTTCCTCTAGTGCCCTTTTATTTTGCACACCGGCACTCATAAGTAATAACCCAGCCTGGAGGCAGCTGATGTTCAGTTTTTGTTTAAATAAAAAACAGTGTAAATACTTAGAGAGTGGCTTCTGCCTTTGATTACATTTTCTGACAAACCAAATAACAACTTTCTGTGTGAAAATGTACTTTGCCATGAAATGTTAGTGACAAGTCTGTGCAGCCGTCTCTCCACTGTCTTTATTCTTCATCAGATGCATATTTGAAACCAAATCAGCACAAGCTGCACCTTTGAAAAAATCCAAATGCGTCTCGTTACTCAGAGGCAGCGCTTTGTTTTACAGCACTGCAATATTTCCATCCTCATGTACTGTACGTGATTTGGCCTCAGGCGGAGAAAAAAAAAACCAACTGTGTTGTTTAGTGCCGTTATTACTTCATAAATCACTTTTAATCACGCAACTTTTTTAGTTCTGGGGTATGTACAGGTTTTTGTTCACCATTTCTATGTCAGAAAAATCAATATCTTTATGGCAAATGTAGCTGTGAGTCATTTTCAATGCGTTGCTGCTGGCACTCGTCATCGTCAATGTCTTTAAAAACGGCATTAAAGTAAAAGATAAGCCGTTTATCTCTGACGGGTTTGTAATGATTTTCGGTATTGGACTTCTGTTTTACACCACAGTCTGGGTGTTTGTTCACTACATTCTTTCCTTTCTGACTCATTTTCACTCTAACCTAATTCAAGCTAATATTAAAAACATTATCGATATTATTGATAATATCTAACTGCAGTTTAATTTCATTAAAAAGAAAGAAAGAAAGAAAAACTTATGGATCGGAGACCACAGGCTGGGCCACATAGCCGTGTCTTGTAGGACAGCTAGAGTAGTGGACCCTTTCAGCCAGTGGAGGGTTCCCAATTGTTTCACAGGCCCAGGTCTACACTGAGTAGAAGTGAGTAAAACTAGAAGGTCATCATAGTTCATATAATACATATACTTATGTTGACATTTCTGTCTGTCTGTGCTGTGGCTTAAAAATCCTTCAAAACACTGTGTTAGGATGTTAGCATTTGAGCATCGGAAACCAATTGGACTGGATATCAAGTATTTGTATGTATAGTACAGTATGTTCTTTACAATCCAATAAGTGATATCACTGCAAATGACACTCCCTCTGGTCAAGGCTGTGGTTTTATAACAAAATAGAAACATCAACTTACACCGTGCAAAAGCTGAGCCGGTTGTTTGTGTCAAACTTTAGTAAACCTCTGAATGAGAATCTTTAATTAATGTGTTGTTGAATAATACGGTGCCTCCTCAGAGACCCAGCGCTATGAATGTGAACAGAAAAACAAATTTTCTCCTTTGGCTGCAGGAGGTTTAATTCATCTTTTATCGTCACTCATTTTGTCCACCACAGGTTCACAGAGAGTGAAGTTTCCTTGAGTGTTCAGTGGAAATTGAACCTCTTCTGTAATTGAACTTCTGCCACATCTCCAGGCAACAGAGCCTGTTCAGTGTTTACCTCCAAACTTTGGGTAAATGACCTTTTTTGGAAATAGAATCAAAAATCGAATGAAGTCAATCCTAACTGAGTTGTTGATGGATTTTTCCTCTGGATAAAACATATTAAACTCCACAGCGTTTCTGACCAAATGTCTGGAGCTAAAGATAAATGTCTGCATCTGACCATTTAAAGTCAGGACACCGCCGCCCTGCTGTTGGTGTTTGTGCGTTACTTTCTACAACCTTGTGATTAACTGAGCTACTATTGTAATTTTACCTTGTAAATATGTGTTTGCCCAGATGGGTGTTTTCAGTCTAAAGTGAAGCACGGTGGCTGTAGGAGCAGGTGCATAAAAGGAGAAGAAGACGAGGGTAAAATTTAATGAGTCAAAAACACAGGAGTGGAATGATGATATCAGAACAAGTGAGGTCACTGAGGAAGATGGCTACAGATCAATGTATGCACATTATATCTGAATTAAACCTTTTCATTGAACCGGAGGAGTGGGTAACACCGTAGGTGGGTAACCCTAACCCTAAACCTTTAGTTTTTTCTTAACACACAGCAATCCTGCCGGTGTTCAAACCATCAGTACCTTCATAACATCAAGACCCTGCCCTAATTACCCCCTGCCTATTCAAATAACGACCAGATGTCCACATGTGGCCCAAACTGTGGTCAATTTGGTAATATTGAAAGAAACGAGAAATAATTCAAATGTTTGAGTAAAGAGGTATTTCTACAGGAGGAACAGACCGTGATCAATACACTCTCCGTAGCTTAGCAACGTGCCACCTAAAATGCAGCACGTGTGTGTTAGGAAGAGTGAGCACTCAAGTCTCTGGTCACAACTTTGATTATGGATTTGGGTGAAATTAAAAATTGTTTTGTGTGGCACACTCCAGGCTCCAAACACCAATGTATTTATTTCCAGTTTGTTGGGAAACTGAACAAATATTTTTCAGTTTATTTTATATGTTTTGGCTCCTTTTTTGTAATTACCTCCTGCTTATTGGCCGTAGAAAATTCAGCTAATTGCAGCTGAAGGTCTCAGTGTGAAAACCTGGCCTAACATAGCTTCTGATGGTCAGTCCTGCTCTAACCACTGGGCCGTGTGCTGCCCAATTACCTGCAAAAAAAAAAGGAAATTAAATTCCATACTTCATTGTTGCATCGTCCTGATCTGTGCTCCCAGGAGCTCACAGAATAATCTCACAAACATACACACTCATTGTCCCGTGCTGCATTGAGGAAATCCACATTTGGAGCAGCAGGAGGGTGGGGTTGTTGTTGTTTGGCTGTGTTCCCTCTTCATCCAGATGGATGATGTCAGTCAGATATGGAGCCTCAGCCGCACCTTCAGCCTCTCAGTGGGTGAGGCTGGATCAGGGTTGATCTGGTTCTCATTTATTTCTCCGGCCGAGTTTGAAAAAGCAGCGTTGGTTCGAAACCAACTCGTGCCGCCGCCGCCTTCACTGTCGTACATCAGCAGCAGCTGCTAAATGACTGTAAGCATTCGGCATAAATCTGTCTTTGTTTTTATTTATTTATTTTTTTTGCAGGCTTATATACAAAAATACATTTTCCATCTTTTATTGATTAAAAAAAACTACGAGACAAACCTAAAAGGCATTTTTGTGGGGTTATAAAAATATGGATTATAAACACAAATGGATGTTTGTCTGCTGATGCATAAAAACGTCTGAATTCTCCTCTCTGTTACTGTAGAGCAGTGAAGAATTGTCAGTTTTTGAGCTCGGTCAGAACCAAACATTGTCTGTTCCTCTGCTCATCTCGTCTTATAAATAGAAAAAAAAGGTGGATTCCAGTCATGTTAACTATTATAATCTTTGTTTTCAACTGCCAGAGGTTTTCTCATGAACAGCTGCCGTGTGAGTCAGCTGCACATGTTATCATCCACCACCACATGTCTCGTACAGTGTCCTCTCTGGTGGCGGGTTGTTGAGTGTGGAATAGTTTGAATTCCACTCTTATCTCCACATTCCCTCTTCTTACCTTCTGTCCCTGTGTTTGTGTGTTTGTCTGCAGCCCTGACAGCAGCTGCTGGCCGCGGAAAGATGGAGGTTTGCAGCTTCCTGTTGGAACAGGGAGCAGTGGTGCAGCAGGTCAACAGACGCGGGGTGTCTCCTCTTTTCTGCTCCGTCAGACAGGGACACTGGCAGGTGAGAGATCTGCTGAAACTCTGAAACCCCGCCCTCTTGAGTGGTGTTGATGCTTGTTTGCTAAAAACGTACTCGTAGTACTGTTATATTTTTTATGACTTGAAGTTTTGAAGTATTTTTTTTCCTATTTCACTTAAATCAAAGATCAAGTTCAAACATGGTGTTGAATTAAGTTGGATTTTTTGCAGGTTTTTCTAAAGAATTTATTCCTGATGTCTGCTGAAATTTCTGTGAAATGTCTTAGATTGCGGAGCTGCTGTTACAGCGTGGGGCTGACATCAATGTCAGTGACAAACAGGGAAGGACTTTACTCATGGTGGCTGCCTGTGAGGGTCACCTGACCACCGTGGAGTTCCTGCTTTCCAAAGGTGAGTTCTAACACGGAACAACCTTTGTTAGAGTCGTCTGTGGACTGTGTTGGTTTCTTGAGGACGGGTCACCTGTCATCCCAGAGGTTCAGCCTATTGGACAAGAGGGGAAATGTCTTCAATTGTCTTTTGTGGCATTACCTTCGGGACAACATCGCTACGTCCATTTAGTTTTAATGGTCGGTGTCTTTACACGTCTTCTATTTTCTGTTGTCCTGTCTTCTAGGTGCATCTCTAACGTCCATGGACAAGGAGGGACTGACGCCCCTGAGCTGGGCGTGTTTGAAAGGACAAAAGAATGTAGTGCAGTTTCTGGTGGAGAAAGGCGCCATCATCGACCACACGGACAAAAACGGACGGACTCCGCTGGACCTGGCCGCCTTTTATGGCGACGCAGAGATTGTAAGTGAGGTGGTTTAGGGTTTGTTGTAACCACAGCAGCTCTCACAGCCACCAAACAAACTTCTTTTGACGTCAACCCACAGAGAGAGAAAGAGAGAGAGAGAGTTCTCGTTCTTTTTTTAAAAAAGAAAAAAGAGATTGTCTGTCTTTTAATCTCTCCGTGCTCCTGTGTAGGTCCAGTACTTGGTGGAGAGAGGAGCAGTGATCGAGCATGTTGACCACAGTGGGATGAGGCCTCTGGACCGGGCCATAGGTTGTAGGAACACATCAGTGGTGGTGACTCTACTGAAGAAAGGAGCCAAACTAGGTGAGAAAGACGAGTCTAAATATTAACTTTTCTCCAGCTTTACTGCATGTTTTTCTCTCACTCTGTGTGTGTTTTGGGGCTAAGATGACTTTCTGATTAATTGGTAGAGAGATGTGACTGTGCGTTGGCTGCCAACCAGTCTGTGTCTCTGTCTGTGTCTGTCTGTCCTTCCTGCTCAGGTTTCTTCTCAGCCTCTTTACGAATGTGACTTATCACCTAAATCACATCCGTAGGTGTCTGACTCTGTGGCTAATTTGCAGTGCACTCTGCTTCTTCGCTAAAAAAAAAAGAATCAAATCAAATTACCGTGTAGGACCTTTTTTCATTTCCTTTTAGCACAGTTAACAGTCTGCGTGCATTTAGCAGCGCTGAAAGTCCAAGGCCATTCTGTGTTGAGTGACACATAATTGCACATTGCCACGCTACACTTCATAACACACTCTGCTTTCCATCCTGAAAATGACTACTTTTTTTCTCGTTCCTATTTTCTCCTCACTCTTTTCCTGCTAACTCTCTTCCCAAACGCTTTCAATAAACTTAAGGCTACAGAACGTCGCCTTACGATCGATCAGGTACAATCTTTAGGTAACTTTACCTTGTACCAATTAACAGAGAATACAGAGACGGCCTGTTGGTAACATTTGCAAACTTAACCCTGACTTTTTTTTTAACTTCTCTTCCTCAATGACAACAGGGAACGCTGCCTGGGCCATGGCCACATCCAAGCCTGATATTCTCATCATTCTTCTTCAGAAACTGATGGAGGAGGGAAACCTGCTGTACAAGGTGGAGTACAAATGTTTTCTGGCTTTTTTGAAAAAATATAAAAACACCTTTGGTTCAGGGTCTCTGGGTACTGTCCAAGGCAAAAAGAAATTACATCTACAGAACTTTCCTGTTTTTGGCAACCTTGATCTGAGTATCTCAGCAGCCTGTTAGAATGTACTGTACGCCTTACTAATGCTCATAATATTATCACAAGTAATGCGTAACATGGATCGGCACAGCATTGTTTGTTGTTATTTTGGCTAAGTTCTAAGAGCGTTAGGCTTTTTACTCACATGTAGGAATCACTGTGTTTTCATTTGCGTACTCGCCTGACAAAACTCCCATCAGTCCAGTTAACAGTATTACCTGATTGTCTGTTGTTCCTACTTAAGTTGGACCGCAGGCTTATTTTGTGCTGTACTCGGTGACCTTGACAGTATTACCTGATTGTCTGCTGTTCCTACTTAAGTTGGACCACAGGTTTATTTTGTGCTGTACTCGGTGACCTTGATCTTCAGAGCCGTGTTTAAAAATACAGCTGGATTTCTCCTTTTAAGACTGTTTACTTGGAGAGTTAGAATCCAGCTTTCATACGTTATCAGTTCTGAGCCGCTTCAAATGTGAGGGAGGTTTAGAAACTTTAGAAATAATGGGTTTCACTGTGGCAGAGAAGTGTTTTTACTGTAGCTTATCTCAAATTTCCAAGTGAATAGATGTGTATGTTCTTCACTGATTACCCGGAGAGTCTTTATCAATGCCTGACATTAAGCAGACGGAGCTTTATGACAGAACTGACAGTGAAAAAGTGTGTGTGTCTGTGTGCGTGTGTGATTGATGAGAGGCGAAGGCTGGAGCCAGAGAACAGCTATTATCAGCTGAATACCTCGCTGCGCTCCTCTCTACTCACATTTTCCCTCTGCTCTCGTCCTCTCTCTTTCCCCCTTTAACCTCCACGTGTCCTTCAGAAAGGGAAGATGAAAGAGGCGGCCCAGAGGTACCAGTATGCCCTGAGGAAGTTTCCCAGAGAAGGCTTTGGTGATGATCTGAAGGCTTTTAAAGACCTGAGGGTCTCCTTGTACCTGAACCTCTCCAGATGTCGCAGAAAGACCAACGTAAGGCTCCTCACTCTCACTGCACCCGCGTCTTTAACAACCTCATAAATGTAGATTGTGTTTATGTTCGCACATAAACAACCACAAACATTTTTCTCAGCACAGAGTCACCTGTTATTGACAAAAGCATAAATCTGTGACCAGAGACTCTAATGTGAGCATGTGTGGGCAGGGAAGTTTACCGGTGTTTCCATGGTAACAGCAGAGCAAGACTAGACAGCTGCACATGTACAGGACAGTGGGCACAGATAATTGTCTGTTGATTTGTCTGTTCCTTTTATTTAAAGGTGAATCTACAAAAATCTGTCCATTTAAGATTCTACACAGTAACACAAAATCAAATGTTTAATTGGCTTACGTTCATATTTACAGTAAAACTCTGCAGCACACACCTGTCTGTATTCACCTCCTGCAGATGTCTCTCCTCCGTCATCCGCACACAGACACAGTCTACGTTAAATAGCGAAAAGATATTTTAGTCTCATTTAATGAGCCTGTTTAGAAGCCGTCATTAAGGAAATGATGGAGAGTGGTGCAGCAGGAAAGGAGTCAGACTGGCTGATTGTGAAATTAGGGTTTTAATAACCAAAGTTGAACATTGTTAAAATCATTCATTTTTGTAGCCCAGCAAAAAGTCTTTGTACAGGAGGTGTAGAACACATTTGTTCTCTGCATCATCAGCTACAAAATTACTAATTTTACAGGAACAAAATAACCTAAAACAAAAAGTGACCTTTGCCCAAAAAAGTGATTAGTGTTGTATGTATGGAGTAAAACTACAAAGCTGTGTTTGTGAAGATACTAGTACACTCTGAAAACACTGGTATAAGTACAGAATACCCACGTTTAGTTTTTTTGCAGATAAGAAAATAAGGATAACATTTCTGACTGGACATAGTATAAGAAAACACAAGATTCTGAATGTCAAGCTGTTGAAGGAAACATAGATTGATTCTTGTTATTTTGCAGGATTTTGGGATGGCAGAGGAATTTGCAACAAAAGCTCTGGAGTTGAAACCCAAATCCTACGAGGCCTACTACGCCCGAGCGAGAGCCAAGAGAAGCAGCAGGTAAACTTTGGAGCGCAGACCCAGAACCGTGTCTCTTCAGCCGACTGTGTTTTCATTCATTTATTTTTCTTCTGTCCACAGGCAGTTTACTGCAGCCATGGCCGACCTACATGAAGCCGCCAAGCTTTGCCCCAATAACAGAGAGATCCGCCGTCTGCTGGCTCGAGTAGAGGAGGAGTGTAAACAGATGCAGCGTATTCAGACCAAAGGAGGTCTCGCTGCAGCTGCAGCCAGCCAGGCGTCTGGAGGACACGATTCTGACCAGGAGCAGGACGAGGGACAGGAGGAAATGTCCCAGCACAGCCTCGCCAGGGGTACAGAAGGTCAAAGAGACATTCTGGAAGAGGAGGAGGAGGAGGACGAGGAGGAGGGAGCCGTGGGGGCAACGTCCTCACAGCATGTGAGGACAGCTGAAGCCTGCTGGTCACAGAACAGTTTCTCCTACAACAGAGTCCAACCCCCTGAGTCTGTCGGCAACAATGCAGGACTTCAGAACCAGAACCCCAGCTCACCTCCAGGCCCCAACAGACTTCCCCCCCACCGGTACCCTCGTGAGCAGAGGGAGGCTCTGACCCAGCAGGGCCTGGTTCTGCAGCCCAGTAAGCAGGCCCAGATTGTTAAGACCAACCAGCACATGAGCTCCATGCAGGCTGGAGCAGTGGGAGGACGACCAGCAGGGTCCAAGTCCCAGTACGCTCCTTCCAGTCCTTTACCCAGTCGACACATGCTGAGACCAGGACCAGGCATCGACATCAGTCCTCTGCCTCCTCCTCCTCCTCCTGCTGATGAACCCATGTACGGAAACCGCATGGTGCTGTCAGCCGCTCAGGCCGCCATGGGTCACAGCTGTGATAACGAAAACCTCCATCCGTCGGCTCAGGCCTCGTATACGTCCAAAGGTATTGGACAGGACAGGCTGTCCGCTCACTCCGTGTCCTCTCTGGACGCCTTGGCCTGCTCTGGGCCTGTAGTCCAGGGAAACCACACAGACGCAGGAAAGGAAGTGTTGCCGTGTGGTGCAGTGGGCAGCAGCATGCACGTGTCCAGCTCCACCAGCAGCCTGGCCTCCAGCAGCAGCTTGTCAGACAGCGGCAAGCTGGGACCTGATGTCCGCACCAAGACGAAGCAGGTGCAAGCGTCCGGCTCCATGGAATACAAACCAAGACCTTTCATGGGAATAACTGACAAGACGGCTCGTTTCCAGCAGCAGAGTGTGCAGACTCACCAGAACCTCCAGTCGACAGGCCGCAGCTGGATCACCCACACGTCCGAGGGCCTGCTCTGTCACACCATGTCCACGGCGTCCCTGCAGCCGGTGGACTGCAAAGCGATGAGCACTTACCAGGATCAGCACAAACACGCAGCGCCTCAGACCATGAGCGGCCTGCAGAACGGCACGCACGTCAAGGAGTTCGCAGAGAAATTCTGCCAAGTAGCCAACTGTTACAAAGAGTCCAAGCCGGCGCTGACCGTGCCACACGTGTTCATTGACGGGAAGCCGAAGCAGGCGGGCTTACCGCGAGAGAATCCTGCCATCCACGTGGCTTCAATGAAACCAAAGCGATCTTTTATAGAGTCCAATGTGTAACACAAACATGTCTGTCTCTCATCCAGTCCAAACGCACACTAACGAAGCAAAAATCTGAAGTGAGAAGGATTAGTTTCATTATTTTCCAGGACACAATCTTACTTTTAGGTCTTTAAAAAAAAAAAGAGCAGATTTGTTGGGCAAACCTGATTGGAGGAGGATTCACGTGTCTGCCGTCGTTCAGCCAAGCTGGAAACACTGCACTGAAGGAAGTATTCTGACAAAAAGTATTGGGATAAAAAGGCTTCACCTAAAGGAAAACGGTGACAGTGAGCACTTTATAAACAGTGACGCCGCTGAATCCACACGTTCAGTCACAGTTCTAATGTTATTACAGGGGACTTGGAGTGGAGACCAGGTTTTAAACAGTTTTATTTCGTCCTCGGTGCTGAGAGGAGAGAGTAGGTGAGAAGGTGTGAAGGTGTTAGGAGGTGTAAAGGACGGGCATACCTGTGTTCTAGGAAGGATGTTGTAGATCCTGTGTATATTGTACAAATACGTACTTTTCCCCTTCTTTTCAGTGAAGGTCTGTGTTACGTGTTCTGACCAGTTCAGACTTGTGTATTTTGAGTTTTCTGCACAATGTTGTTTAAATGGTGTTTTAAAAAAGAAAGTTAAATTTGTTAAATATGTTTATACATGAGTCTCCATTAACGTTGGCCTGAGAATCCTCTCTGTAACTGCTTGTTTTTGCTGTCCAGTTTAATTTATTTACAGCGCCAATGGCTTGGTTAATTGTCAAAGCAATATATTTTATATAGTTATTTTTGCACAGCTACTAAGTCATTATATGATTCTCTATAATGTTGAGTTTAAAATGCATGCTACAGTTGCCGTTTATATTCCAGAGTAATAAGGACAAAGCTATTGAAAACAGAAAAGCTTCAGGGCGTCAAGACATCACCTCTGTTTCACGTGTACATTTAACGCAGTTGTTTCCGAGTTTTTTTTTTTTTTCCAGTATTGTGAGCTTTAATAGCCGTGGTCACATACTGTAATAGAACTGAGCTGCTCCAGCCGTCGTGGGAGAGAGAAATAAAGACACCTATGAGGAAAAACAACCAGGTCTGTTGTTTTTTTTTTTTTTAATTATTATGATTTTCTAGCAGTAAATGTCTGATTTAATTAATTTAACTGAGGTACAGTGGGATGACTACACGTTTCACACTGGGAACATTTCTGGCAGTGACATTAAGTTTAACGAGAGCAGGAGTCAGGATTGTTAACATTTAAATTGAAGACGAAGGTGGAGCGGATAGAGACGAGTGTCAGGTCTGATTAAGTACGCAGCAAATTTGAAAGCAAAGGTTTTTAAGACGGTAGTGAGATCTGCTATGATGTTTAAGGGTCAGATGATGGCAGAAGTGGCAAGTGCTCAAACAGTTTCCTCCCACAGTCCAAAACACCACAGGTGTGAATGTGAGTGTGAATAAATATGCAACTTACCATTTCTGCCACCTTGTGACCAGTATTTTCAGCTGCTGATAACGACGTTCTTGTCTATTGACCTGAGGTCCATCGTTCTATTGCCATCTTCAGAGATCTGTTGGGGGTGAGCAGTGTTGTCAGGAGGGGCAGGTTAGTCATGGGGCTGGTTTTGTTCTTGCCTCTGATCCAGCCCTCCATCGATTCTCTCTCGTAGGAAAAGCCATCTGTGGGACGGACACGTGTTTTGACAAATATATGTCGAAATATTACGTTTAGAAAAAGTAAATTAAACAGAAAGGATGACGACGTCCAACCTGCAGCCATTACTGGATCCTTCATCAGCTCTCTGGTGATGGGACACAGGAACTCATCAGGAGCCTCTGAATTACTCTGCTGAGCTTTCAGGCCATTGATCTTCCTCAGGAGACGACTGCGGAGACCCAGAGAGTCTGAGGATCCAGAGAGAGAGAGAGATTTCAGTATTCTGTTCAACGTCAACTGTGAGTAACATCGCATTTACACCTAATTGGTTCAAAGGTGATTGGGTCCAACATTTATTTTGTTTCATGCTAATGCAGCTTCAGTCACTGAGAGAAAACACAGGAAGAATCCAAACAGACCTCTGCTGAGAGACGAAGACAGACGCTCGCTGCGTCTCCTCCCCTCTGAGGAGTTGATGCAGCGTGCGGTTCAAATATAACCTCCTCATTATTCTACCTAATGATAAAAGTCCAAATGGTTAAATCAGAGACAGACACTGACGTCAGCCGTTCACTTTGTAGACACCAGGTTGCCACAAGTGGAGGAGCGACCTTTACAGCCACACATGAGAGGCATGAGTGTGTGTGTGTGTGTAATGTCATGGAGGTGTGTGTGTGTTTGTGGAGGAAGAGGAAATGAAAGACAAACTGCTGCACTGACATTTTCCCTGACAGCATCTTCGGCTTTAGAGTGAAATCTGCATCTGATCGAAAAGGATTTTTTTTAAAAAATAAGTAGCAAACAGAGCGAAACTGTAGAACCTACTGTATGGTAAAAATATGTTCGCGCAATATAATTATGTTACAACTGCTACTAAGTTTGTTGGTCTGTTCGCACCTTGTTACAGTGAAAACATTCACATCAATTTGGGGCATTTTTTTATATTAACGTGACTGTAAGTCATTGTCAAACAACTTTGTTTCTTTTGCTAGCATTTAGTACGCAAACCTGTTATCAAATTACTTCAAGGAGAAGTATGCATTCTGGCCTGTAGGTTGTGCTAAATATTTGTTCTATGATTCACATAAACATTGTCAACTCGGACAAAAACTTTTATCGCAAGAATTATTTGGTATTTAGTCTAACAGCGCACCATGAATAACATTGAAAACGTAGTGGTTCTTGATACGGTAGCATCTATCAAGTTAGCATCTACTAATTTAGCAGTGTATTAGCGCTTACTTAGTAGCACATTGGTGGGATGTTAGGAGGGTAACAGAAAAAAGTATTGAATTTTAGTCGGTCTTTACTGAGGCTAGGTCAGGTTTTACTTCTGAGGATTTTACTGGCACCTTTACTGAGGCTAGGTCAAGCTAATCTGCTAACAGCCTTGGTTTTACTTCTGAGGATTTTACTGGCAAATCTGAATGAGTTACATTTTTTATGCTGGTAAATATTTCATCTAGACGACAGGACTAAATACTAGAAACTATGAGTATTGTTTTTCACATTTTAAGAGTTGTATATAATTTTATTAGAGCTAGTTATTACTTCAGACTTTATTTCAGAGTTTATAATGTTTGAAAATACAAATCAATGAGAAATAACTATTTCGTGGTTTAGGTTGACTTTTCTATTATGTACTGTAACACAGCTGGTTATAGTTCTGGGTAAATTTTTGCGGTGCTTTCAGAAAGATTTATTCTCTTACATAATCAAATTGTAATTTCTTCATCGTGTCATGATGTCTACGCGGACGTCATTTCTGAATCCATTTTACGGGACAATGAATACATTTATGTCGGGGTCAGATATTCCTCCTGACCACAGTGCGGCATTTAACATGACATCTTAATTTAGCACTAAATCACACTGTAAGAAGAAGAAGAAGAGCGGGACGTAAACACTGAGCCTTGAAGTGCTGCGTTGGTGCTTAAAGTAAAAACAGACCGACGGTTCAGCGGATGGCTGCTTTTGCAATCGTAAATACTTCAAGTCCCGTGGGAAAAACGGCTGCTCCGCCAAAAAAAAATGAAACACGATGAAGCCATTAAGGGCCCAAATTTATCCAGCAAATGACTCTGGGGTGGCATGAAAACTGCACCTAACACTTGTATAGGTTCTTAGATTTCCATCAGACCTCACAAAGTTACTGCAGCAACAACTCTGGGTTCTACAGAGGCCACTTTACATTTAGATTGATCATTTGATTTTCTGTAGCTGTCCCCAAAGAGATTCACTGAATTATATCCCAGATGATTTTTCCCCTCCTCTTCCCCAAAGATTCATGAATATTAAATCAAGTAAAGTGGTCTGGAATCTAATCTACAGCGTATTTGTGCGCGCGTATGCGTATGTTTGATTAATTGTGTCTCTGAGTGTCAGCGAACACTTGGCCAGATAGAATATGAGGAAAATGATAGCTGCTGCCCTAATAGCACAGCCAGCGTGGACAGGAAGTGTCCTCTGTTTCCACTGTTCTCAGCCTGATGCTAATGAATACACACAGAACGTCGAGGCTCGTTCTGCGGAACAGACGCCGCTCTGCTCTGAGCGGAGGACGGAGCCTTTACTAGTGTTTCTTTAAATGTTTACAGCCATGCAATTAAAGCAAACAACAGCAGCCGAGAGCCATTTCCACTGTGATTAAGAGGCAGCAGTGCAATGAAACTTGTTACGTGATTACAGTCAACATAAATACCTGTAATTAGACCGACGGCAGCTCCTGTGTGCCGTATGGGAGACTGTAATTGTTTGATACACAGTGGTTAGAGCTGTATTTAAACACAGATTGTAAATTTCCAGCCAACTTAACAAGGATGGGTTTTACTGTAAGGTATTTTTTCCAAGGCACTCTTTTTTTTTTTTTTTGGCTGGCTAACATCTTACAGCGACCTATATATAGAAATACATCCCATATCATCTGTGGCCACAAGAGGGCACTGTCTGTGTTGGGAGGAATTATTTAAGTTTATTATTTATGTATTCACATAAGATTATGTGAAAAAATTAACTAACAGCTAGTGAACAAAAATCTCTTCAAAAAGTGCCAAAATGGCTAAAAAAATGTATGTTAGTACAGTAAAACCTTTTTTTAGGATTAGTTAGCCAAAGAAATGGAATCAAATTATACTAATAGTCACTTAAATATTTAGTTAATAGATGTTAAACAAATGTAAGACATATCTAGAGTAGGGAGATGGAGCTGATGATATCTAATCGTCGACAAAATGACTCCCAAATCGGAGTAGGGAAGGCAGAAAAACTCCTGTCAAATAGTTTTTCTTTACACCAGTGACTGTGGTGTTTGTGTAGCTGCAGTTTATACAGTGACTTCCCTCAGTGAGACCTTGGATGACCCAACACAGACTAATGTTATTCTGAGAGAAATTATTCACGTCGCTGATGTAAAGCTATTCCTGTGGATTGCTGTGATTTGTGGCTGTATAAACAGCTGCAGTGTTATGGCCTTGTCAGGGTTTAGGATCAAACAGCACCCCCGCAACCTCCCGTCCCACATAAATACAGCTCAGAACCCCAGTGTGGCTGTAGGTGTGTGTGTGTGTGACTGTATTTTCTATCTTCACTCACTGATTCCCAGCTCTGCCAGCGTTTCCTTCTTCATCTGGATCAGCTCTGCTCCATCCATGTTGTTGGCTTTAAAGATGCCGACCAGTTCCCCTAGTCCTTCTTCCTGCAGCCACATCTGCACGTCCTCTTCAGACCAATCAGAAACCAGTGACCTGGAGTGACCCTGCGACTTCCTTCCTGTGGAAACACGAGGGCAGAAAGGGAGGAAGTGTTTTTCTGTTCTCCCCTCCCCGTCTCCTGCAGCTGACATTATCTGATACAAACAAACAATTTCCTCTCACACACCACAGAGAAGGACACACTCCCACTGCACTGCTGGTGGCCTGATAATCAACCTTCACATCTCTGTTCACCCACGAGCATGTGATCAGAACAGGGGAAAATGAAAACCAGGTGTGTGTTATTTCAGGCTGTCATTTGCAGCATGAAGCTCATCAACCTTCACACGACTCCACGTTAGCGAGCAGTCGTCATTTATCACTCCAGGTTGAGATAAACCGGCCTGGTGTGCACCGTCCTCGCTGATGACACCTCGCAGCAGCCTTGTGGTTCACATCCACCATCATTAGTCTGCTCAAAAACAACCCTGAACACTGGAAGATGCTGCTCATTATGATGCTAACCACATGGTACATTCACCCCCTGGACCCTCACCTCCCGCCCCCCCGCAGCTCTTCAACTCACACACTATTCAAAATATGCAAATTGTTCTCCACATAAAGATTCTGGTTGACATGACAAAAGAAGGTGTTCTAAATCCAACCTGACCTGTGGCTCTGCTTATGTTCCCGTCTGTGGAAAAGTCGTTCTGCATTTGGTCTAAATAATATCTTTTCCTCAGGCTGTGAAAATGCATGGCTTTAATGAGAACTCAGTTTTACAGCCCAGGAGTCTAAAAAAACAAACAAAAAAACAAACCTTTCAGCTGTAACAATGGTCACTGTTCCAGATGAACCCACTCAGTAGCTGCTGAGTCCTGAAGCTCTACTTCAGGCATGTCCAAACTGTTCCTCAAAGGGCCGTGTGGCTGCAGGTTTTTGTTCCAACCAAGCAGTAACACGCCTGAGTTGACAGGTTTAAACAACTGGTCTCAGTCTTCAGACAGCTGATTGGTCAAACTACAGTAAAAAACTCAAGAAAAAACTAAACTAAAAAAAAACTAAACTAACTAAACTACAGTCAAACTCTTGGTTGGTTGGAACAAAAACCTGCAGCCACAGCGGCCCTTCGTGGAACAGTTTGAGCAGAAAAACAGCCTACTACAGCACACGTATCTGACCTCAGCAATTATGTGCTCTAAATATCAATACAAAGAAGTACAAAGAAAGTACAAGTACAAAGAAACATGACACTTTCAATATCTCTGTTATTTTTTAGATTCTACTGGTAAAGTCAACACAATCACTGGTTGCTATGCAAACTTTGGCCTTGGGGTAATAGTTCATCACTATATGGAGCTGTATACTTCTACATCTATCTGTAGAGACCTGCTCACTCATTAACTGAACTGATGAGTCAGATAAATGTCAGCCAATCACCTTTGAACAATTCTGCTCTGACTCAGAATAAGAAACTATCCCATTCTACCTTAGATCTTTAGTCCATCTGTTCCCGAATTGGGGTGTGTTTTAAGTTTTCATTTGTAAACTTATTTTTAACTTTATTTCCTCTGAGCATTGTCTAGGAATTAGTTTTAGTTCTTCACTTCAACAACTGCTGGATTTTTTCTTTTGTGACCCAGACCTGGTAAAGAGATGTGATTACAGAGCGGTTGACCTACAGAGCCAACACATCCAGTGCCTGAAACTGAGCAGGGTAACAGCACCTCAGCAGCACAGCCCCGTCTGACAGAGTGTGGAGTCTCCCAGTCTAGGAGGCTGAGTCATGGAACGACTGTGCCAAAAGCATGAAAACCTCAGGGTTTCACGAGAGCAGACTGGGACGTCTCAGACTGCGGTGTTTAATCACTTGGACAGTGGCACAAACGCAGCTTTCTTCATAATCTCCATCCTTCGAAGCTTCGGCAAAAAGCAGGTGACGCTCCATTTTTCAAATGTCAACAAATCCCATATAACAAGTCAAGATCAACAAGAATCATTTCTATTCATTTGCCTGTGAAGCTGCAGTGGAGCTCATTCCTTTGCTCTTCACTGTCCTAAAAGTCCTTCACTAAACAGCAGAGAGTCTGGATGTCAAGGCCGATTCTCAGTTATTTAAAAACTTTTGAGGCTTTTGAGATTTACAGCATTATTTTTTTCCACTGCTCCTAAACCCCTGTCTGAGGGGAGAAGCATGTTTTCAATCACTGTGATTGATTAGATCTTCAGTCAGACTGATGCTGGGTGGAGCTGAGAAACATTTGCTGTCATCACAGTGTTTTCACTCGCTAATACCAGTTAGCATCAAATTGTAGCATCCAGCAATTGACAGTAAACTGGTGCATCCATGGATTCATCTCTACTAAAGGGAGGACGCTGCAGTTTAGGAACCACTGGTGTTGACTACTCTGTAATGTTTGAGTCATATGTTAGTGACTGGGACCTGGTTATCCTGGAACCGTCCGCAGCATCAACAGCTTTACTGAGGCTAAAATCGGAGCTTTGGGAGATTACACTCTGTCAGTTGGAAGCTCAGCTGCATAATTTGACCCGTTTTAAAGGCACACCAGGAAGAGAAAAGTGCTGAGAGATGGAACAACTCTGTCCTGGTTGTTTTTTTGGCACTTTTCTTTTTTTCCCAGTAATTTGCTGACAATGATTTGCTGACAACTGCTGTTTCAGTTTATGCATCTTCTGGGTAAGAAAAATGAACATAAAATGAAGGTTCACAGAACAAACCCAGTTTAAACACTGCAAACACACAATCACTCACTCACACACACAGGACAAATCTACGGGCCAAACACAGATGTGCGTTTATTTACCTTGGCAAACGGTCTGACTGGGTTCAGCTGCTGTAGGAAGACATAAGAGAGAAGATGTTTATTGTTGTTAAAATAGAGAGACGATTAAAAGGCTGCGATCTGGGAGATTTTTCTATTGAGGTTGAAATTTGCTTTGTCAACATCAGCCTGACTAATTCAGCCGGGGAGTCTTCCCTGGTGAGGTTTTTCTGACGACGGCATCTTTTCATTTAGTATTCCACACGTTTGTGCATCACGTTGGCCTGGAAGAGGATTCACCTCCGTAACAACTGCTCTCTGAGGCTCGGCGGTAGTTTCCTCGAGACGCCGTGGGCCGGCAGCAGTACATGTGTAATAGGAGCCGTGGTCTGTTGGATTTCTCCCAGAACACTCGTCTGGGGAGCTCTGCTGCTCCAAACGGCTTCTGGGCTTTGACTCGGTGCTAACAGTCTAGTTTAAACAGGAGTGATTGTGTGTTTGTAGGGCACCGGCCCCATGAACCCTTCTCTGTTATGTATTTACCCACTGTGTTCTCTCCGTCTCCTATTCTCCACACGTTCACCGTTCTGTCCATGGAGCCAGTTGCAATCCACGGCATTGTGGGAGACACAGCTACAGCCGTCACATACCTGCGGGGGTGGAGGAGAGTGAGAGGAAAATAAATGGATGTGAACTTGTTCAGAACTAAATCAGGTTTCTCTCTTTTAGGAAGAGAACTGCAGGCAGCGCTGACTGGGCCGCAGCACATACTGCTGATTATTCAGTGTGAAGGAGAGGAAGGATTTTACAACACTGAATGTCATTCTACAGTTACTGTTCACTAAATTAAACATTTGATTTTCTCCGTGGCTGTCAAATTAATGCTAATTATTACATTATTTTAGTCGTTCCAACGTTGCATGTAAAGAAGGAGTTCTCTGATGGAAACACAATGTTATGACAGTGATGTTTGGATTTAAAGAGAGGATTTTTAGTGAAAAAAGCTTTTGTTATTCTCATAAATATTTGTCCTAAAACTTTGACCTTAATGCTTATCTGTTGTACGGACTTGGACTTGGACTTAGCCAGGGACATTAAGACTGAACTTTGACCTGATCTGTGTATTTGATCTCTTGGTAACAACCTTTAAAGGCATATTCCCAAAGTGAGGCAGTTCA